GAGTTGATTGCAGGGCTCGGTGGATGAGCAGGGTTATTGGTTGTCTCGGTTGTCAAGAGAGTCTCGAAGTGGTGTATAGTGGTCAGTTTTAGCCGTGTAGTGCAGGGTTGCACCATAAGGCAGGTTGTATGAGGTCATTGAAGTGCTCGGTAGTTTACGGATGAAGTGATTGATGGTAGGTACGATGTTACCAAATAGACTGTGTTCTAGGATTTGAAAGCTGTGGACTGGAGTTGGATTTTATGTTATGTTTGAGGTATCAGGAGATTGTGCTTGGTGTTTGAGGATTCGAAAAGGTAGATTGATGATTAGAATGATTGGGACGAGGTTGATTTTGTGGGTTTAGTTGTTAGCCCCATTTGACCTTTTATTGGGGCTAAGGATGTTCTGAAGAACGGTGAAGAGGGGAGGTAATGGTGTTGAACCTAGGGTATGAAGTTTCTTATTTAGGCATGTTGATTACCTTAAGATGAGTGGTTTGAGTAGCCAGATAAACGTTTGTGATTGATTGCATCGCTGATGGTATTGAGGTGATAGTTGGGTGTTGAGCATTCTGGGCTTTATGCTCATTTTTGTTTTGAGGATTTATCGATATGGTATTGTCGTATTGAGGTTCTTTTCTAGTGGTATGCAGTGATCGTTATGGGGGAGTATCGAGAGTGGTGCTTATTTTCTTATTATGATGGTCTTAAGGAGGTTGAAGGATGAATTGCTTAGTAGTGGCTTGAAAGTCTGGTGGGATAATAGGTTTGAATTGTCGATTTGAATGAGTGGCAGTGAAGGTGTTCTGGTGTGATGTTTAGTAATGAGGAGCGGAACAATTTGAGGTATGATCCGAATGTGATTTAGGATTGTAAGTGTTGTTGTATGTTGTCAGGTAAATGATGGGATTGTGCACCAATTGAGGCAATTGTGGTCAGTTTAGTCTTTAGAACCAGAGAAATAGGTGTTGCCATATAGGCATTTTTTTCTTTTAAACAGTCAGTGATCTTGTGCGCACGGTGATCGAGGTAATGTTGCCTGGGTAAGTAGAGATGAAATGAATGGTAAAATGTCATTTTATGGCATAGAGGTTGTCGGTTAGGAGTGACTGATTCTAGGTAGAACGGGATACGGTGTCCGAAGGGCTGTGATTATTTTTAGTGTTGTGTGTCATGAGCGTTGGTGCTCTTACCTGATTGGTTTTGGTTAGCAGGGGTATCACGGTGTATCGTATGCGAGGTCTCTGTGTTGATAATGTGTGACGGTCCGTTAGTGGCGAGTTCGCCTAGAATTGAGTTCGTAGTTCCGTATGGGTATCCATTTGGTTTTTCTCTTTATATGTAAGGAGTCTAGTTCATCTCAGGTGAGATTGGGTGTCCATGGTTGGACAGTTGGTGTGTAGCATGTGACAAGGTGTGGGTGCATTCAGGTGCGAGTCGTCAGTCTCTTGTGAGAGCGGGGTTTGTTACCCTTTCCATTTGTTCTAGTCCTGGCAAGGACGTCGTTTGTTGTGAGTCTTGTTTTCCATTTAGGAGTTGTGCGCGTTCGTGGGTGAACGGACCTGTGTGTGATTTGTTATGTTGTTGAGTTCATCAGTAAAGATTTGGTTGACTCACTCTCACGGAGAGAGATAAAGTCATCGGTTTTTAGTAGTGCTCATTTTCAGAGAGGTTTTGACGGCACGAGTTGCCGAATAGAGATTGTAAGTTTCTGGAGTCTAGTACTAGCAGTGATGGCTAGGGGATGCGTTATGAACCTGGAGTTTGAGGATGATTAAGTGATGAGATGTGAGTCATGTACTCAGATATTTTGATAGGCGTTTGATTCGAGCAGTGTCTTGAGGATAAGTGTCGATGTTGCATTTGAATTTTGTGATAGAGAAAGCAAATGTGTGATTTTATTGAGGAATAATAGGAATAATTGACTTTGGTTTTGAGATTTCAAGTATGAGACGGTCATATTGTGTGTTTTGAAGAGGTAAGAATTGAACCAAATAATGACATGGAGTTATTTACCTAGTATGGGTGTTATGAGGGGATTAGAGATCTTTTTATACTGGTTGATGATTGTGATGTTTGGTGCCGTGTTGTTTCCGGCTTGTTAAGAGTTGTGTCATTAATGTATGATTGGGATTTTTAGAGTGGGTATATGACTGTATAGTTGTTGAGGTTACGTAGAGTGATGGATTAATGGTGAGTGGATCTCATTGTTGTTTTGTGAAAAGTGTGAAAGTGTATTTAAGGTGTGGACCTGAGGACAAGAACGACGTCTGTGCTGAGATTGGATCGAGGATGAGGATGGCCTGGCCAACCATTTCTCCTGAATCAATCCCTCTTTAGCACGATATCGGGTCAAAGGTCAATGATTGCTTTGAATTGTCACGAATAGTGAAAGCAGGATATTGCGGGATGTGTCGACGTGATAGTGTGGATTTAAGTGATTTATCTCAGGCGACAAGGTATGTTAAGTAGGACCAAGTGTCCAATCCGTTTGATTATCGAGGATCTGTTTTGAGGATTGTGTCCTAAGTACGGGGATAGTGCGCTTTTCTATTTTGGTAACTAATGTTTATGCAGCCGTTGGGGATTCATTGTTTAGCAATCTTGAGGTTACAGGCGTAATGATTGTCGTATAGTGTGGGTAGCAGTCGTTGGTAAGATTATGTGATGGTGTAGATGTGTGTTAGATGACGAGTATTGGTTTGACAAGGACATGTAGATTTGAATTTGAGCTTGATTGTGAGAGGGATAGGGTTCCTTGTCTAGGATTTTGTGTGTCCTTTAAATGATGAGTTGAGTTAGGATGTTGTCATGTTCCGGGGTCTTGTGACAGTTTTTCTTTTGGGACTTTGGAGCCTTTCGTGGCTGTGTGGAATAGGCCGATGCCCGTCTTGAGTCAGGTGTAAAATCTAGCTGATCTTGTGTTATGAGGAATAGGAGAGATGAGTACCTGTATTGGGCTTTAGTGGCAGTAGTATGTGATTGCCTAGTGACGTCCGGCGACAAAGGCAACAATGTTAGTGGGTTCATGGTCTTGAGGTTTTGTGAGGTTTTCTCGGGGTTATGTGTGGTTGTGAGCCTCCTTCTTTAAGGAGGGTAGATTTCGAGGACGAAATCTTTTAAGGAGGGTAGGTTGTGATGTTTCTGTTTTTAACTATTTTCTATTTTTGGGAATTTTCTGATTTTTCAGCGGCATTTTCGTCTTTTCTCGTTTTGCGTACTAGACACCGTAGAGTGTGCCGGTTGTGTCCGAGAGTTGGTTGGGGCATTTCATGGAGTTCAGGACTCTTTGAAATGTAAGTGTTATCATTTCAGCATTTTTCAGTTTTCCGGACCGGACAGTCTTGGGTGAAACCGTTACCAGAGTTGTTGTGTACGGGAGTTGTGTCTCAGGTCATTTGCATACCATGCATTATTATTTTTGTACCTAAGTAAATTATTTAAGTGCTAAAGTGTATGGCTATGATATAATTGGAGCATATATATATATTTATTGGTGGTAGAAATTAAGAAGAAAAGAAAAGAGAAAAAAAAAAATATATATATATAAATGGGGCCCACCATCTACTTTAATGGTGAGGCCAAGAGACCACATGGGTCTCATTCTCTCTCACTCTCCCGGCCATCTCTCTCTTATCTCCTCTCATTTCCTTTTCATTTTTCATTTTTCTTGAGGCTTTGATTTTCTCTTCCATTTTCCGGCTAATCGGTCGGGTTTCCAGTCTAGGTTCCTTGATAAAAAACGTTCCTCTCATCGTTCTCTATCACATAGTCAAAGAGTTTATTTTTCAGAGGATCGGTGATTATTTTATAAATTTTTGAACATTTTGGATCTAAGGCTTCGGATGGGGTTTTGGGCCACTTAGAGTCGGATGCCGGTGTAGACCCTTTGGAACAGTAGAATTTCCTCGTCGACGGCTATGTTTTCACGGAACAGTTTTCCGTTCCGCCGCCGTTGACCGGCGTTGACTTTTGTTGACCGGCGGTTGACCGCGTTGACCGGCGTTGACTTTTTCGGGCGGAGATGTATTTTGGCTACTTTTGAGGTAGGGGTGCTCTAATTCACAATTTCTTAGGTTCTATGTGAATTTTTCCATTTTAAATTGACTATAAGTATGTTTAATTTCAATTATTTTGGCTATGTGATTATTGTTGATTATATGTAAAGTGGTGGACGTATGCTATGTGATAAATGAGTTTGTAAATTTAATTACATCCTTATAGTGAAGAAGCATGCATAGAAAGGACAAATTGTTTACTTTATGTATTTCAATTGCCATGGAAAATTGATGTCATAATCGTAGAAATAAATGTTTAAAATATTCTTTTACAAGTTGTGATTATGATATGGGTAAAATGTATGGAATATTGTTGTTGAATTTGGCATTTGGAATCATGAAGCATTTATACATCCATTGGGAAAGAAAAAGGGGAAAAGTATATTAAAAAAAAAAAAAACCAATGTAATTGTTTTGGGGAAAAGTTTTTGAAAAGTGTTTGTGAAAACCCGGACGCTTAGGAGGCGCCTAGTGGTCCGTGGTGTTAGTGTGGTCTAGAGAGGGGACTAGGGAGAGACCCTAGTGTGGTTGAGCTAACCAGGCCGGATGCGACGCCTTGGAGGTGCCTTGTGGTCGTGGATGGTTAGCCAATCCCCCTTTCGTGACGCCTTGGAGGTGCCTTGGGTCGGATTACACTAACGGTTTGGAAGTTGAAACGGTATGGTTTCAGAAATGGGGAGTAACATTGCATGGCATGGCACATCATTGGTATACGTGGTGCATTTGGTAATTGGTTGAGATATGTATGTTTGTTGATGATACAGTGGTTTTACTTGACTCCCGAAATATGATCCCGTTCTCTTACTTTCTATTCTCTATGTGGATTCACGGGGTCATAAGAGGTGTCTCTTAGACACTTCCTACTGAGCGTTTAGCTCACCCCATTATTTTAACATTTTTCAGGTCACGGGAAGGAAATGGCGGACGGCGTTCCTCTACAGGTCTTGATGGGTTAGTAGATTGTTTGACCTATTTTGTAGCTATGACCTCATATTATTATTATTATTACTAGTATCATTATCATTATTATGTATTGACATAAAAAAGGACGGTAGTGCCCTTAGTTGACCTCGGGTTCGGATAAGGACCCGATTAGCGATTCAGACCCTCGGGTTCGGGTCGTTACATGGCAATTCAGGAAGGTGCTCGAAGAGTCCACTCTCAACTTCATTACACAAAGTGCTCCACAGATAAGTCCTTGTACTTATTGTTGAAATTTTTTATTTAATTCCTTTTGTATTGGTAGAACTCTTACCCTTGCGACTTCATTATTACTTTCTGAATTTCGATTGCCTTCTATATGGCTAGCACCACCCACATAACAAGGGTGTGATGATAATATTATTTTTCCATTATACTTGGGTGTGACTGTGTGGACTTCTCCCAACAGTTTAAAATTTTACAAGGTTTTATCATCAATGTACAGCTACGTCAAGTTGCTACAACAATTAAGCTCATAGTGGTACAAGTACAACAAAGATCTCGATGGAGATTAAAGTAAATAAAGTAATTAGAGTCATTTTCGAGGGACATATTGAGTCTCCATTTAGGAGAAAAAAAAAGAAAAAAAAAAAGGACAAGAGTCCGACTATTTCCTCTGCACAGAAAGGTGAGATAATTAAAACTTCTTTCGTTTACTAGAGAGACGAGACGACTACCTCTTGTATTAAAAGGGTCACTCTCATTAAGATTACACCTCTTTCCCACATAAAAGAACGAAGGGGCAATTTCATCTTCTTCCCTCGGTAAAAAAACCAGGGGTTCACTACTCCCTTATTAAAGGGTAAACTCACAAAGCTCGAGCAAAACCATTCCCTTCTTAAAAGGGGCAAAAAAGTAATCATCAAACATGCTTAGCTTGGAAGGACTTGGCATTCCCGACGCTTGACAAGCAAGATTACGGGAATGGGGGCTACTGATACAGAATATTTGATTTGATAAGAATTTCACGTGACTTAAAGGGTATGGATAAACTTAAGGAGATAGAAATAACAACTACTACCCTATCCAATGACTCTTACAATCCTTAATGGACAAGGAAAATAAATCTTGTATAAAAGAAGTCATCGGTCAACTACGCCATAAATTTCATATTGAATTCTTTATCGGATATTCATTTGTCAGGTACTAACTTGACCGTCGGAGTGCAACGACCGGCACAACGCCGGTTGTCACTTCTATCTTATCTTGCAGGAAACATCTTCGACTCCGACCTGTGTAGATTTTTGTATCAACATATATAATCTATATTTCGAAGTAATCGACCACCTAAATCTAATTGTCTAATGGCAATTGATTTACCCAAGGCACAAAAAACCTATAAAATATTTTCTTTAATATCTAAAATGGTGCTCGATAATGGAAAAAGAACTCTTGGCACTTTACCAAAATGAAATTTGGAAGTTAATTGTGTTTAAAATTGACATGAATGGCATTACTTGAGTGTGAAGCGGGTCTTTAAAACTAAAATTAAAATTGATGACACACTTAGGACCCATTTATTAACGCTTTTACTAAAATTAAAACTGATGACACACGCTTTTAAAACTGATGACACAATAAAATTATGATTTTGATTTCTTGAACTAAAATAGAAAGTGAAATATAATTTTTTTTACTTTCAATATTTTGAAAGCAAAAAAAAATAGGAAGTAAGTTTATTAAATTTTAATTTTAATTTTGCTTTCCTAATATTGTGTGTAAGAGATCGGTAACATGCTTCTTGCCTCTCATATCAATGCACACAAATGATTACAAACACACACACACACACACAAGGTGCGATTCTGGTTGAATTCACCTCTGTATTCCATGGTATATAGAAAAAGTATAGAGATTGATGAGGCTAATATTCACCCCTTATAGACCATTTCCAAACTAAAAATCCTTCAACAACTAAAACAAAATCCATTAGTTCCTGTTAGTGAACCATCTCTCTCAATCTCTCTTTATATACTATGTGCCGATGCCGGAATCCATGGAAACCAAAGCCTCAAACTTGGATCTCCCTTTTCGATGCTGGAATTCACGGACAAACTGACTGGGAATAAAACTTTGGAGTATGAATTGCTTGTGGATGCGAATTTGGGTCTCCCTTTCTTATGCCCAATTGCCGGATTCCTTGCTCACATCGTCACAGTCTCGTCGTCGTTCGGTCTGCTGATAAGTTTAGTCCGGCCTCAGCTTGGAGAAACTGCTCGCGGCCGCCGTTCATCTACTTTCAACCAAGTGGGCTTAGGTTAAACCAGTAGAGAGAGAAACTAGAGAGAGAAAGTGATGAAAGGGTTTCAACTTGCTCTTTCAGAAAGATGAAGCCTGAAGGGGTTTCAGTTTTCAATGGATGATCGACGGTGTTTGGTAGCAGTTTGTGGTGGAAGAGAGAAGATAGATGGTGGTGGTGATGATACTTAGTGAAAAGGGGGTGATACGGGTGAGCAGTTTCGTTACAGTAGCGGAAGTAATTCCTCCGCTACAAGGGAGAAAACAAGAAGGTGAGGATTAATCACTTTCTCTCTTCTTCACAAAATTAGAATGTATTTTCTTAAAATAAAAAAAGTAAAAATATTTTATTAAAAATAATTTTTACTTTTGATTCTCAATTTTAAGAATTAATAGTAAAAATCAGAAATTATATTTGTTAATAAACAGGTCCTTAAGATGTTAAAAGCTCGATTAGTTTCCGGGGTAGATTTTTCTAAAACACTCTCTCCTGTAATAAAGCCTCCTACAATAATCTAATGGCAAAAACACTCACCTAATATTTTGGGGTAAAATAATAATAATAAGAATAATAATAATGAGGGTAATTATTCTATGTACGTGGGATTATAGGTGGGATGCTCTAATAGGCCCTGCACCGATATAAAAAAAACGGTTTAAATCGGGTGCCAACAATGGGGTGTAAAATTTCAGCCCAGACAGAGGCCGGTTAAGTCCTGGAATTAATGGTTGATAATTATCCGTATATATTACTGTATTAAGATTAAAGTGGGGGTTTAGGGTTTTTGCAGACAATCACCGAGGAGGTCACCGCTATGGATTCTTCGAAACGAAACTCCGCTGAGTTGCAACAACTTCTCGAGGTCAGATACTTTTTATCTGTATTTTCGTGTACGATTGTCTTTATTTATATGTCTAGGTGTGGATGAGCCTCTGTACTTGCATGGTTAGTGGGCGATTTTTTTTTTTAATTATAGGGTAAACAAATTTCAAATTTTGATTCTGTTTTAAAATTTTCCTAAATGTCTTAAATTGTATTTGACGACTGTTATTTATAACAACTCGGCTTCAGTCAATATTTTGCATAAAGAACTCTACAGACAAAACTCTAGAGGGTGATTTATGTACATTTGACTATTTGAGAGCCGGATTTCTGACCCTTAGGAGTTTGTATACTACTTTTTATACATATATGTAGTATAGAAATTATTCCTCCTAAATCTTCCTCCATGATCACGTGGGATTGGAATTTTTTTAATTGACAGTCACATTGATCGTCTTTTGTTTTGAAGGGATAGGAAACAATTAAGTCACATCATTTTGTATGCAACATTACTCATGAGTACACATTCATGATAAACTCTCTCTATATATATGTAAAAGGCCCAAGGATTAGGTATAGAGTATAGACATATTAAGTTTCCATTATTCATTTGTATTTGGTTAACCTTTCCGGTTTCTTTTAGATGCCTTGTATTTGTACTAGATTATTGTTATTATTGTTGCTGGTTGTTGCTTTTGGCATTGCCGCATTGCAATGTGACAAGTTTCCTTGAGGGTTTAGGGATGCTTGTGATGGGTTGCTGACATGGTGGTAACATATGCTGATGATTAATGATAGTTAGGCAATGATCGTGTTGGGGTGTTCTTAATATTGATGACAGTTTTTGGTTCTGCAAAAGGGATTTTAGAGGTGGTTGTGATTTCAAGCTTGTGATGTTTAGCTGTGGTAGCTATCTGTTACACTATGTGGCAGTGGTGGGAACTCATGATGGGTTTTCCTCCAATTAACATGCACCGTCACCAAATGCAACTGTATTATGGAAGAAAACATTTATTTAGTTTGTTTCTTTGTGTTTTCAACACACAAATTTAATTTTCTGATCGATCTGAGACAATAAACATAAACAACTCAATTAAGGGACAGTATAAGTATAAACTCTTCCTTCGCTACGTTACAGCTCATCTCTATTTTTGTCACTCCCAACTCCAATTTTGTGTACATTAAAGCTATAAGATGAACAGCAGCTTACAAAAATAGCAGGGCATCGGGCAAACCGATCTCTTGGACCCTTCGATTTAAAAAGAGCTGTTCTCTTATGGGTTTACTGATGTGAAGATTAAAACCGATCTCTTGGACCCTTCGATTTAAAAAGAGCTGTTCTCTTATGGGTTTGCTGATGTGAAGATTAAAATTGAAATTCCATGTCTAAAACTGGTCATTTCTTCCTCCTCTTTTTTTTGTTAATGTAATTTTTTTTGTGTACAATTAAGAAGGGGATAGGATCACTATATCCAAGGTTATGTTCTGAGTGTTACTCATAATTGATTTTTTTTTTCCTTGTTTACAAGATAATTATATGGTTTTTAGTATGGATGAAATTTATGGTTTGGTTTTTAGTTGAATTTCTGAGTGTTACTACAAATGATATTACAACAAAGTTGTAAGGTTGTTAGGATCAGAATTCTGCGTAGGATCGATGAGGGGGCCATAGGATCGGAATCGTAGGATCGGATTGAGAATCGTAAGATTCTATAAAATTATTAGATAAGTAACTCAAACTAACTTTCTAAATTAAATATTTTCGATATAAGTAGAGAATAAGGTTAATTAACCAAATGAGACACTCTAGCAAAATCAACTAACACTAAAAGATACTAAGACACACAGGGGCGGAGCCAGGAATTTGGTTCAGGGGGGGCATGTTAGTACTGATAAAATATTTTTTTTTCAAGCAGGCCGAAAATATAATAGTGTAATAAAAGTGTATTAGAGTAAGTGAATAAAAAATTAATAAGAAGAGAAAAAAGAAAAAGAAGGTTATTGCACATAAATTATGCATTAGTGCAAGAAAAAGAAATTTTTAAGAAGAAAAAGGAATTTTTTAAGAAGAAAATGAAATAAAAGGAAAAAAATGAAAGAGAATGCATAAGTTTTGAAGATGATAAAAAGAAATTTGAAAAATAAGAAGGAAAATGAATAAAGAATTATAGACATTTTTAAAAATAGATAATTTTATGGGGATAATTTATAAATTTTATGAGGGTGTTTTATAAATATTTAGAAATTATACGCATAAAATAAAATAAAATTTAGTGGGTTCAAGGGTAGGGGAGCCATTTTATTAATTTTAGGGGGGGCATTATGTCAATTTTTAAAAATTTATGTATAAAAATATATATATATGTTCTAATGGGGCAGCATGGGCAGGGGGGGCAGCTGCCCCCCCTGGGCACATGCTGCCTCCGCCCATGAAGACACATGACAAACACTTAAAATCAATTTCTTGATTTCAACAAAAAGATCAGCATACAATTAAGCAAAATCTCAGAGAAGAAATTAAAGTCTAGTCTAAACAAATAGAAAAGGGAATAGTGAAGTAGAGAGAGAAAAGTATAATTTAGTTGCCTAAAAGAAAGAAGAAAAGAGAAATTAAGAAGAATAAAACAAAATAGAGGAAATTTTGAAGTTTTGAACCTTACTTTTGAAATTCAGAGTTTGATCGTCTCTGCATTTGACCTTCGTTTCTTTGGTTTTTGTTCTTTATTTTTTAATGTAATTAGGTTAAAGAGTTGGATTTTATATATAAAATGATTAAATTTATTAGTCAAAAATTAAGTGTAAGCCCAAATAAATCCGGAAGAAGAACAAAATAATACGATTTACTAGAATCGGTAGGATCCGGCTATCATATGCAATTCTACGATCCTACTTCCGATTCTACATATGCTACTAAGATTCTACTTCTCAGTGATTTTGGATGGGATCGGGATCGATTTGGTTATTTGGGATTGTGGAATCGTAAGATTCTAAGATCCAAAATCGGGATTTTAATAACTATGCGAAGTTGTAGCTCACATCTCTTTTACTCCTCAAAGACAAGGAAGGTTTGAGTTCTAACTAGGGCAAAGAGGGTGTGTCTCGTACTTATAGATAATTAATAACACTTGCAAATGACGTTGTGTTTGATGAAGGTTGGTACGCATTGGTTTGTTGTGAGGTGGAGCCATGGAGGTGGCTTGTAATTATGAAACTTCATATGTGATTAGAGGTGGTGACAGTGATGGTGGTGATGATGTTTTTATGACAGCTATTGTGGTGGTGGTTTAAATCCATTTAGGTGATTATAATGGGGTTTGGAGGGAGAAGGAGAGGGAGGCAGGGCGGGAAGGTGGGCAGTTGTGGTGTTTGCAAGGGTGGTTGACATTATTGTTATGTTTTGGTTGTGGAGATAGTGGAACCAAGGTTTAGTATAATGAATGACAAATGTTAGCTTTGTGCTTTTGTCCATAAAAAAATAAAAATAAAAATAAAAAAGGGAAAAAGGGGGATGATAGTTTATGGACTTGAGAAATTGCTGACTTCTTTGGATTATGGGGTAAAATTGTAAAACTGAAATTTTCGTTACTACAGTCCACCAGTCAAATTTGACAGGGTCACCACCGAATGTTGACACAGGAAATTCCCATAATTGGTAGAAACCTGAGAGGAGTTTGATGTAGTTTGCCAAACTCTTTGTAACCAACACATCATCTCTATTCATAACAGTAAGTAAACAAAAGGATTCACTTAGGTCAAATTCAGTTATGCGGACCAGTGTTACTGTTTTATTTATATCTAGAATGAGTGATTGTGTCATTGCTATATTCCATAAAGGGTTTGGTGTGGTAAGCAGGTATGTTTTTTCAGGTTATATCCTTGTATAGGTTTGCTTTCTCTAGTTTGTAAATGTTTTTTTATGTTTTAATATTCTTTCTTAACAATTAATAAATAAGTAAATATATTAAAGGTTCAGCTAAGATGCATTTATGATAGTACCTGCATTTGAGCCTAAGGATAAGATGGATCATACAAGGCATGGTAGTGGTCTGTGAAGCATTCATCCCACACTGCTCAATACCCCCTTTTACATGTTTCTATGAAGGGAGAAAGATTTATAAGCTTCGAAACTCGTAACAATGTGAAGAGGCTTAAGTGTACGTTTGGTACATAATGATTTGGGTTCCCATGGATGGATCCAGCTCCTCCTCATTAGTGATGTGGGCTGCTGCTTTCCACTGGTTGATTTAGCGGTTATGTCGCCATGTCAATTTATAAAATAAAAATAAAAAATAGATTGGCTTTTGGTTCAGTGTTTAACTAACATCGTTTTTATGCTCCCTTCTCTCTCTCCTCACACCACACTCTTCTCTTCCCTCTCACACGACTCTCTCTCTCTCTCTATTCTGTCAATAAGATCTCTTCTTAGTCTTTCTATTATGCCATACACTGTGTATCTTAATATTTCTCCCTCTCTCTCACACACTCTTTTCCCTCTCCTTTAATCATCCCTTTGTTCTACTCAATAGTCAATACACATCCCTCTGATTTTCCTCTCTATAAATGGGAGAGATGGTGGGTGGGGTTGTTTTGCACATATAAAGAAGGTTCATTGGAAAATAAAATTAGTGGTTATAGGGGATGAGTTTAATTGATGGTGGGACGGGAGCAATAGGTACCGAGTTTATGTCGCTGGAAAAGATAGAGACCATGTGTTTGATCCTTCTTATTCAAATGTTTAACAAAGTTATTTGCCAGAGCTCAGTTGGGGGAGACGGATGTGAGCAATCGGCCGGTCATTGGAGACGGAGAATGAGAGGAGCCGAATCCACCATTGATATTATTAGATAATTGTACTGTGTGAATTAAATATTCTTTGAGATTGCTTTGAATCTGGAATAGGCCAGGGTTCTTGATTTGGAATGGCTGGAGTGGGGGTTGGGCGACGCTTATGTATGGTTGGTCCCCCTGGGGGAGGGAGGAGCGTATTAGTGATAAATACCATCATGGGGTTTCCACCTCAGTTATTTTATCAGAACAGGCCTTAGTTTTAGAAGGCAATAAACAAAACTTCTTACAATATTGGGCGGTCATGGCCCCTTGAGATATATGTTCATCTTCGCTTGGCTTGAAGAAATGCATTAAAGTGTTGGGTAGCTTTGTTCAGTTGTGGTGGTCATTTATTTGGTCCATTTTTGCTATCATTCATTATCTATAGATGAACCACCAAATGCGTTGTCAGCTCCTTTTGTGCACGCCACTACATCTGTTGTTCACTCTTACTAATTGTTGAAATATATAAATATTTCAAGACTAATTTATATTATATGCAAGCAAGATCCATGACTTTGCATCTATAAAATAGTTTGTGAAGCTTATGAATCCATCTCAAAAAGTTGGAACATTCAAATTTCAAATTTCATTCTTTAAACAGATAGCAAGGGAGCTTTGAAGAAACAAATGTAAAAGTATGTGTTGAAAATGTTGTAAATTATCAAATGTTTGCCTATCATATTTGCTTTTCTGTTTCTACTGTTCCAAAGGAAAGGGTAATTACTTTACTATCTTTTCTTTTAGAACTGATATATTTTGTGATACCATTTTTGTATTTTGGAAATGTTTTGAGGTTTTTCCTGACGGTATGGTATTTATGCAGCAAGAAAAGAAGACGGCCTTGCTTAATCAGATGGTTGCAAAGGTGACAAAGGAATGCTGGGACAAGTGCATAACTGGTACCCCTGGAAGCAAGTTCAGCTCTAGCGAATCAGCATGCCTTTCAAACTGTGCTCGGCGGTATATGGACACGAGTATCACCATTATGAAACGTCTTCAGTCCATGCGTTAAGTTATACTTGTAACGGCCAGATATATGAGTTAGTTGATTCAAACATTTTGCTGTCTGTCCTTTTAGCACTGAGCAAATGCCTCATTGTTTCTGATATAACTGTATATGGGAATGGGTCACCAAATTCATTTTTTTTACTGCATCTTAAAAATGGTTGCGAGATATTCTTTCCACAAGTTTTGAAACATATAGAAAGAGATTGACCACTCCATGTAATCTTTGATTAAATGCAAGGCAAAATTGTATCATGTTGGCTTGAAAAGGGCACGTTTTTCTATTATCCTCGTGTGTTATTGTTTCCTGGTGTTGATTGCATCATTCACTTGCACATTCAAACCCAACTAATGACCTCTCATGTGTTACCACATAGCTGCTGATTCTATTTGTGTGAACTGTGGAGTCTCTAGAAACTCATTTGTGTGGACTGTGGAGTCTCTGGAAACCATTTTCTGTATACTTGAAATTGCTTCTCCCCCAGAGCTATCTTGGAAGATTTAACTGCTGTAAGGCCCATTTGAAATAAAGTTCACCACTCTCCCCTCTAAATGCCTGACACATAAAATCAGATGTTCCAGATTTACATATGTGAAAGTTTCTCACTTATGCATCCTCTTGCTACATTACAACAACATTAAATTAATGATACAACATTCACCATCCTTGATTAGATCTTTATTGTATTCTTGTTGGGTCTCCAATCACTAGCCCTATTTTATCTTCGTGTCCTAAACTACAACATTGTTTTGTAGGAGCAGCTTAGTCCTTTCATAATTTTCATTGCAGATAATTGAGTCATTGACGGTCTTCTTTCTTATTTAGGATACCAAATGTGCATTAACATGTTTACTCATCTCTTGGTCTTGTAATACCCACTATGCCCCCAGTATGTAACGGCCTCTTTCCATTTTAAAATTTTGGATACTAGAAGGATTTCTCATCATCAAGGAGGATAAAATTTTATAAATAGTGATTGAGGTGTGGAACTAGTCGTATTAAAGAAGAGACAACAGACCATCTCTCTCTCTCTCTCTCTCTCTCCTCGGGTGCATGAGAGAGAGAGAGAGAGAGAGAGCATTAATACACACTATGAGAGAGACCATTAATACCCACTATGCCCCCAGTATGTAAAGGCCTCTTTCCATTGATACTAGAAGGATTTCTCATCATCAAGGAGGATAAAATAATATAAATATATACTCGCATGTATATATATATATAGTGACTGAAGTAAGAAACGAGCCGTATTAAAGAAGAGACAACAGACCATCTCTCTTTCCTCTGGGTGCATGAGAGAGAGAAGGCCATTAATGGTGAAGACAGGAGCAATTAATCATTCTGACCAGTAACTTTTAATGCCTTGTGTTTATCGCTACAATTGTTTGCCTGGCCGTGGCTACTCATCTCCACACCGCTTTCATTGCTACCTCTACTGCCCTGCCCTCCCCACATATCTCTCTTTTTATCTCCTCAATCTTCAACCAACAACTCTCCAGATCTCAATTAATGCTCTCTGTGGGTACAATAATTAATGTCAAGTTGAAAAAATATACACCAAAATTTTAATGTTCTTTTACGAAATCCATTGCCCAAGATCCATGAGCCAAAATATTGGTTTTTTAAAGGGCAATAACACACCTCATCGGGAAAAACAGTAAAAAGGCTCAAAACACAACTTGTTTAATGAACAAAACAGCCAAATACAACTTGTGTAATTGTGGGTTTTGGTTGTTAATTTCTTGATAAGTGTAGCTTGTTATTGAAGTCGGAGCTGAGCTGGGTTGTGTTTACCTGTAGCAGCTTGTTGAACCTTGGACTGGCTGATGAGACCACCTCTGCTCCTTCTCCTCCTCCTCCTCCTCCTCCTCCTCCTCCATGTGTGGTGGACATTGAAGTAGTAGCTGCAGCTTCTTTCATTGATGGTTGTGGGGGTCTCACTGCAGGAGCAGGAGCAGGAGCAGGTTGTGATGGTGTTGCACATACTGGAATTACTGACCTGATTTGGACTGCTGGAGCAATCCTCCTTTGTGGGTTGTACTTGTACCCTCCTCCAATGCCAATGTAGTTGCTGCATGTGGGAGGACTACACTTGATGGAAGAAGACATTATTGGCATTGGAGATGTAGATGGAGTTCCAACAAGCCTGCTTCTCCCACTATAATTGGCTAGTGAAAATGCTTGCCTGTACATAATAGAGTTCGGCCCCAGCCCACTATCCTCCTTCATCACATGATCTGATGATGATTTTCCACTCAGCCATTCATCCTCGTCCTTTTGATGCTCATCAAGTGCAAGTGGTGGTGCCACTGCTACCTCTTGCTTTTTAACTACTTGTGATTGGCATTGCCCCGTGACTATGCTACTAGGGCTATGATCTGATGAATATTGGTAGTACAAAGATGAACTAGTGTCTCTAGATGAAGTTGTTTGCAAGATTTTTGAACTTGTTCTGGGTGGTGGTGGAGGGAGCAGAGATACAAAACTGTTCTGTTTCTGTTCAGGACCTTCGGAGAAAGAATCCATTAGTAGATCCATAGGCCTCCTCCATAGATGATGATGATCCCTATTCAATATTCCTCCTCCTCTTGTTTGGTTCTGAATCTGATCATCCCTTCTCGGCCTATTTGGTTTCTTTTCCTCCCTGGGTCTGAAATTTGAGAGAATTCTTGCCACAACTGCCTGATCCTGCTCTTCACGAATGTCTGTTTCTTTATTTGTCTGATGACACATTGAACCCAAGTTTGGCACTGCACATGTGTATTCATTTCATTGATCATGAAACCCTAATAATATACCTCTATGAATGAGGGAGGGGAAAAAGGAAAATCTAATAAAAAAAAAAAGGGGATAACACAAGAATTTACTTACTTTTCTTCAATGAACACCAGGCTGCTATTGCAGCATTCTTCTCAGCCTGTTTCTTTGTCTTGGCCGACTCACCTGTGAAATTCATACCAGCAAGCTCCACTGTAGATGTGAAGACGGGGGCATGTCCGGGGCCTGATCTTATAGTGGTGTATACAGGGAGGTTGAGACCAGTCCTATGAGCTGTTTCTTGAAGGAGGTTCTTATACACACCGGTCTCGTCCTTGGGTTGGGGTGGATCATAAAAAAAAAAAAAAACAAATTAAGAAACAAACAATAAAGAGAAGTAACAAAATTGTGAGAGAGGAGAGGAACTTACAAGAATTCTGGCAGTTAGAGACCTTGAAGGACCCCTTGTGGACAAGACATTGAGAGCTACTTCAGCAGCTGCGTGCTCAGCCTTTCTTAAGGTGGTGCAGTAAGTGGGGCTTTCAAACAACTCACCATTGAAGTTCACACAAGCTTTGAATCTTGGTGCATGATCAGGCCCTTCTCTGATGCACGCATAAGAGGGCAGGTTGAAACAACTTCTTTGTGCTAGTTCTTGCAGTTGACTCTTATACATATCTGCCATTCCAGATCAAACCAATCAACAAAACCCATTTTCCCAATGTCTTTCACTCATAAAGGTCAGTGTAAAAGAACAGTGCATAACACAATACACAGAAAAGAAAAAGAAAAAAACAAAAAAAAAAAAAAAAGACACTGGCATGAGAATCAATCAAAGAGCCCAACCATAGCATAAAGAAGATGGATATGTGAATGAAGTCAAAAGCAGTGAGAACTGGTTAAGAATCAATTGCTTCACCTGATTCACTCTCCTACATTGGCATGAGAATCTTGTCTCTCAGAACAAAAGAATGTGGTGCAGTAGTTGTGTCTTCAAATCAAAGGGAGAGGAGGAAGTGGAAGGTGATTTGGTCAGTGGAAGTGAAAACCTTTCCCCATCAGCAGCTCTGGACTTGTATTACTCTCACCTTTTTTCCCACCTCAAACAAACAACACAACTTTTATTCATTTTAGTAAATTATTTTCATCTTTAGGGACCCCTGTGCAGCAGGGGTGGAGCTAAAAAATCAACCCAATCTCATCGGTAGGGGTATTTATGACATTTAGGATGTCCATGGACCTTTGATTTTGAATGCAACACCAACAACCCAACTCCCAATTTTGTTATTATGCAATTAAGACTGGGTTGACACATGTCAACTCCAGCTTTTCAGTGGACTAAACAGGTTTGCGGGCGTTGACTTGATTCTATTTTGAAATAATTTATATTACCACTTGATACCTGTTGTGTGGTGATCAAACAGAACTTTAAGGATTGATTGGCTCAACTCCCTCCTGCTCGCTTTTTCCCGGCCAAGCCAATTCATTTTATTATACGAGTACTGATTCTACTTGAGCACCACGAGTTTGAGCCTTCAAGTCTAGGATCTCTCTATCGTAAAAAATAAAAATAAAATAAAATAAAATAAATTTGATCCAGGTCTTCCTTCCCTTTAGGCGGATTGACAGCGTTGAACCCGCATTTCATAGGCCCAACTCCAATAGATATCAAACCTTTTGCACTCCACACCATCGGACCATTGCAGCTTCCAAAACTGACAGGGACCCGAGGGGAGGGGGTCTTAAGTCTAGTGTTTGAACCTTTGGAGGGGCTACGTCTTTGTTTATTTTTAATTATTATTATTATTATTTTCAACTTTCAAAAATATTTTAAAAAGTGAGATTAGCATATTGATGCCATCAGAATTCATACAAGTAATAAATATCACCATTAACACATAATTTCTCTTCCACGAGTTTGTACTTGTATCCTCTACGATGGAGAGTTAAATCAATAACAAGTTCGTCTCCTCCACATTGTAAGTACTCTCATCTCAATCCATCTAAAAACTTTTTAGTAATCGTCCAGATGTCCTTCCATTTGGAAAAGAGTTCCAATGAAGAGTTGTAGCTGCCACCAGGTAATAAGAGTAGAGACTTAAATTGGCTTCCTAAAGGCAAAGATTGACGAAGGGCCTGGGCCTACTAAGAATTAACCTTCCAACACAGCTTAATCAATCAACCCTTCCTTGCGCTGTTTACTTGTACAAGTGGGAGCTAATTATACAGTCACTTTTGTGCATGACAGTTTGGATTGGGCCATTTGGACCAAACCCAACATTGCCCCGGTGCACTACCAAAGCTATGCTTATCAGCAGTAAAATAGTCAACATTACAGACACAGAGATAGAGATAGATATATAGAGAGGGAGAGAGAAAAAGGGAGCACAAATTGGAAACTAACTAATTCCACAAATGCAGTACAAAATCAGGACTGAAGAAAGTAACTCTCTTAACTCCCACACGACCACACCATTCATTCTTTCCTAAAGCACAACGGTCAAACCGACAAACCAAGTCCCACACAGTCGGCCACCCCAAACCAACACTTTTTGTTTTTTTTTTTTAACATCCGCCAAAGCAAGTCCCACATAATGCACAAAAATAACGTGGATATTGAATGACCAAGCATCATACCTCAAACAACCTGCTTCACACCCACCAAACAATTCTCTCTCCATTTGCAATTCTATCTTATCTGTCACACCTTTGGTTCTGCAGGTCGAGAGGTCGCCAACTTACTACTAGTCCCACTCATTCGGTTTGCTTCCCCCATTCTAGACGACAAAGCAAGAACTTCAGGTGACATTTCCCAGCTTCCACTTTTCCTTCCCCAACTGGAGCGCCTGGGATGATGAATTCCAGCACGATCTCCCTCATCTACAGTAGTCCTTAGATCTGGGGAAGTTTCAACTAATCCACCATCTTTAAAGTTTGTTCCATCATTATTGCTAAGTTGCCCTCCGCAATGATCAGCCCCAGACCCTGCATCTACCCACACTGCTTTCCTGCCCATTTCTATGTCCTCCACAGCCTTCCCCATATTTGGACTAACAAAACCACCACCTGTTGATACAGACGGTAACCCAGGTTCCCTTGGTACCTTTGCCCTGAACTTGTTCTTGGATTGAGGGATGCCAGTGCAAAATATCTCCTTGAAGTTCTGCACCACTCCTTTATTATAAGGGTTGGCTCGCCGATCATATCGATATCTGAAGTTCTCATAAGTTGTCTGTAAAAGCATCATCGCAAGGGAAAAAAAATCATGTTATTTAAGATTAATATTTACTTGGGAGCCCATAAATTAATCGTAATTTAAGGCTACAAGGTACTGAAATGAGGAAAAATGCTCTCTTACCTGATTTGTACTGATGAGATATAAATGGAAAGCAGTAAGGCCACCAACAAACCACACTGATATGAAGGTATAAACTATTAGGACAATGGAGGCAGGGGTCTTGATCATTGCTTTCCATATTGTTGTCTCCTCGGAATCCATGATCCTCTTAATGTAGACCCAACAGAAACTAAAAACATATATACAGAGAAGAGTCGTCGAGAATACAAACATGAAGAAAAACCGATAATTTCTCTGCACCCATAATTGTCAAAGTTCAGATTAGCACAAGGTCCAAAAATTAAAGAGATACAAGGGCCAAAGTGAACATATGCTGGTGAAGATAACATGAGGGATATCATCCTAAAAACTGCAATAAGATTTTCACACCCAGCATTTGAGCATCATCCCAAGGAAAGTGTAGTTACAAATATGCATCTGTTTGCATGACATAAGCACCAAATTAAGTAGCATGTCAATATCTACTTATCTAGCCAAAACTAGAAAACAGAGACATCTAGGGAGCTAAAAGATTTTCCCAATCCTACCAGAAAATATCTACTTCTACAATTTTTAAATCTTATTAATTAAAAAATACAATCATGCAGGCTACAATGAGTTTGTAATTGTCAAAAGAAGGTGATTGATATCTTCTTTCTCGAATAAAGTCCATGTCACTCATGCTCTCATTTGCTAGAGACTGCTCAAATATAACTCCAATACAAAAGAAATTCCAAAATACACAACATAATATAAAGAACACGGATGACCAGCAACTAGTACTCCATAACTCAGCCACTATCTAATGCGCATCCAGTTATTTCTTTCTGGATTTCTTTATTATTTATTTATTAATAATATAGTCCATCTCTTTGGATATGGGGAACATTTATGGTATAAGGATACAGAAAACACACAAACGCTAAATAACTTAGAGAATGCATTTCTTACCAGCCCAATACACTGACCAACCCATGGGCAATGGTGGTCAAATCGTTCAACACAATTATTGCAAATTGAACAGTGTGAGCAGCGAGGTGGTCGGTAAAGCATGCACGTATCGCAATATTTAATCTTCACGGTAATCCCATTAACTTCTACTTCTTTCATGCGAGGAAGGCGTAACTGTGGAGTTTGCCCACCACCTTCTGCAGTCCCATCATAGCCATCTGGTTCTGGAGGGTGTGCATTACGAGGAATTATACCAGGATCTCTTCCAGAGGTTAGCAGGAGAAGAACTAAAACCTGAAATCCAACAAATCAACCAGCTTAGATTCAATATTATGATAATAAATTATTATTATTATTTTTTTTAAGAAACATCATTCTGGGGGCAAAAGGATGTCAACGCTAGAGTCGGACATAAGATATAAAATGTGGACAAGTACTAGGCAATTCCTTTTTGACTCTTGACGTGAGTCATCTCATTTGCAATCTGCCATCCATAAATGAATCAAATTAGTACATCCAGCCAATTTGCAGTCAACCTCCCCTCTGCTGGATATCTCATTCATACACATCGTCTTTAAGAGGGGTTTTAATGTGACATAACCAAGGTAGCACAGACACTTCTATGAATGACACATGTCCGTGGCAGACACCAACATTTTTAGGACACTTTCAGACACATCCGGCACACCTTAGATGTGTCTAAAAATAAATTTTTTTATTTCAGACCACTTGGCCGACTACTTCATTTGTGCTCTAGATAGACTAATGAATCTGGAATGTTGGGCAAGAGTTTCTCATAGCATGGAAAAAAATATTCATAAGAAAAATCACAATAAATGCTGTATAAAATTTGTAGAAAGTTTAACATATATTAAGAAAATCAGATATCGGAATTTTAATTCAAAGAGTGGGTATGAAAGTAGGAGATAAGTTATTAAATTGAGTGTGCATATACATGTACAGATTTAGATACACAAAGACATGCATATGGGTATACTTCGCGTCTTTGTTTTGTCTTTACTTATGTGATAGGAGCAACGATAATAATAGGACTTAATACGTTAAAAATTTTAAATTACAATCATAAATTCTATATTTATCATATATAATAATATATTACCGTATCAGTGTCATGTTAGCTGTGTTATGTGTCTCATGATCATATCCATGCTTCTTAGAACAAAACAAACGATGTTGTTCTAGGTATTCGGCTAGGGGTGGCAATTCATGTTTGCGTGTTATATTCGTGTCTTACTTGTCATGATATGGGTATTCTATTACATGGGGACACGATTATTAAACAAAAAAGATGACAATATATGTGTAACGTGTTTAATAAATGGATTAAAACCAGACATGACATGTCATGAAATGGCAGTGCACATATAATTAAAATCTCATATTATTGCAAACATGACAAGTTTTGTTAAACTAGTCATTTCTAACATCAACATGACACATTTAAGGCCTGTTTGGCAACTGCTTCTACTTCGTGTTTTTTTTTCTTCAAATAGTGTACTGTAGCGAAGCAAAAGCACAAAGTGTGTTTGGTAATGTTTGTTGCGATTTGAATAGTAACAAAGCGCTCAAGAAAAAGAGGCCAAAACCGGAAGAATCAATTCTGTAGCAAAAGCACTGTTCACCAAAAAAAAATACCTTTTTAACTAGCCATTTAATTTTTCAAACTTAGAACATTTTTTTACCAAACATGTTTTCATATTTTTGCTTCCAAAGATTTTGCAACAAATATACGTTACCAAACAAGCTTCGGAATAGTATTGAACACACTCCAGAGCCGAAATATTGCTTTTGCTTCGAGTAAAAGTAAAAACACAAAGCAACTGTGGTTGCCAAATGGATCCTTGGCTAATCAAATTTTAATCAGGTTATAAAAGAATTAAAAGGTCAAACACGAACACGATGCGTTTAGTTAACTAGTCAATTTGGGTCGATACAATTATAACCCCAACATACTGAAACCAAACCCAAACCCACTTATCCCATGTCGTGTTCGAGTCGTGCCAAATATTTCCACCTCTATATTGGGCCAAAATTTCTATAACATTGTTATAATACAAATTGTGGAATCTATGCACGACGACAACTTTGATGACTGGAGTAGGCCAAACTTTGACTGTGGATACCATTCCTAAAAAGAATGGGCACCAAATCCATGCCTCATGTTCCCCCCTTGCTTATCACGTAGGTCAAAATGTTAAATACCTGCTACGTGAGGTACACGTATTACTACCTGAAAGTTGTTGATCTAATGTGGCTGTCCAAAGAACTATCACTTGGAGTGATGTGGTACTTCCTGAAAGTTGATAAATATTCTTTGTAAAGACGGATTTGTTCATCTAATGAGGCTGCCCAAAGAATTATCACTTGGAGTGACGTAGTACCTCCTCAAAGTTGATAAATATTATAAATTTAGAACAGTAAGTTAAAGAATCATTATTTTGTGATGTGGATGTTCCCAGTTGAGATATTTGAGATGTGTTATGATTTGGTTCCAAATTGTCTCCGGTCTGAAAGTGAACGTGGGAAAGAGCATTTTGGTGCCGGTTGGGGAAGTTCCTGAGATCACAATTTTAGCAGGGGCTCTTGGGTGTAGCATTGGTTCATTTCCTATCTCCTGTTTGGGTTTACCCCTTGGGTCATCCTCAAGGAGGGTGGGACGCTAGGACCCTGTGGTGGAGGGGTTTGAGAAGAGGCTGGTTGGATGGAAAAAACAATATCTAAGGGAGGAAGGTCACCTTATTGAAGAGTACACTTTCAAGTCTTCCTACTTGCTTCCTCTCGTTGTTCCATATTCCTCATTCTGTGGCTGAGAGGATTGAGAGGCTGCAGCGGAATTTTCTTTGGGGGGGATTGGAGGAGGAGTTCAAGTTCCATCTGGTTTGCTAGGAGAAGGTTTGTTGTCTGATTCGTGTCAGAGGCTTGGGTATTAGAAGATTGGTGCCTTTTAATAAGGCTCTCCTCGGGAAACGGCTTTGGAGGAGGAGGTTCGAATTCCCTTGAGGCGTACTCTAGGGGAAGTTGGTGTTTGAAAATTCATTCAGAAAGGATGGGATGTTATTTTGAAACACATCAAATTTTGGCTCAGGGATGGTAAGAGGATCAATTTCTAGGAGGACGTTTGGTGTGGTGACCGCTCGCTTGCTCTCTCTTTTCCTCGGCTTTTCAGGATTGCCACGGATAGGCAGGCCATGGTGGTTGACTGTTATTGACTTGATAGCGGAGATGTTCGTTTCGCGAGGCACTTTCAAGATTGGGAGATCGAGGATGCCGTTGGTCCTTTAGAGTTACTTTATTGCCAGGAGATCATGAGAGGAGATTCTGATGGATAGAGGTAGGTCCCTGCTTCTTAGGGTCACTTTCATGTTTGGTTCTTCTGTAGATGTTTCATGGAGGGACTCGGGGTTTCATTCCTGTGGAAGGCTGTTTGGCACTCCAAAGCCCCCTTAAAGGTTGTTTTCTTTGTTTGGACATTTGTTTTGGGGAAGATTTTGACTCAAGATAATTTAAGGAAAATGAATCAGGTTTTGGTCAATTGTTGCTACATGTGTCGAAGAGATGAGGAGATGATGGATCACCTTCTCTTGCATTGCACCATGGCTAGGGAATGTTGGAATTCGATGCTTAGTTTGTTTGGTGTTCAGTGGGTTATGCCAAGGTCTTCTAGAGCATAGTTGTTAAAGGCTCAAGGCGCACTAAGGCACCAAAGGCCTTCTGGAGCCTAAGCGCAAGGCGCAATATAAGGCGCGAGCCTGATCGAAGTAGGGCGCGAGTATAAAATAATGCATAGTCAAACATATAATATTATATATATTCATAATCAAGCACTAATTGCAGTTAATGTAAGTAGTGAACCATAAATTTATGAATTTTGTCAAATATTTCATAAGTTTAAAACAATACGATATATGATATAGAACCTTTTAATTTAGTAGTCATTAAGTAAACAAGAAAATGATACAAATAAATGATTAAAAAATACAAGGCGCGCCTTTTTTGAGCTTGGTGCCTACTAAAAAGTGTGAGCCTGAGGGCTTTATGTGAGTCTGATTGAAGGGGTCTCGCCTGTAGTAGGTTGAGACGCTCTAGCTGAGCCTTGATGAGCCTGGGGTTTTTTTGGAGCTTAGGCGCGCCTTTAACAACTATGCTCTAGAGGGTTGATTGAAGCTAGGAGAGGTTGCATAGTGGGGGCCTAAGTCCGGGATGTTTGTAAGGTTACGCCATTGTGGGGCGGGTGGTGTCTTTGGCTCGAAAGAAACAAGAGATCCTTTGAAGGAAAGGAGACTCCTATCTCCATGCTTAAGTTCTCTATTATTACTACTCTTTTTTGTTGGGTTATAGGGAGAAATTATAGATATTTAGAGGAGATTGTAGATTTTTTGGACTCCTTGAAAGTTTAGAGGGCTTTTGGCCTTGTGTAGTTCCCTTGGAATACGCTCCCCTTTTGAGTATTTTTTATACATTTTACTTATCCATATATATATATATATATATATATATATATAACCAATATCGGATGTTCCATTATAGCAAAAAGTCCCCCTACATTACCAAGGCACTAAGACTGAAGCTAGACAACTCCCATGCAAAACAAAGTTTAAATTTTCAACAATTTAAGAAAATCCTTCATCTCTATAATATGACAGAACTTCAAGCTTACTCACCATGAAGATATGCCATGGGCTCGCATCAGCCCTGGAATTAAAAACATCAAACAGACACCAATGCGGGCCTTGATAATGAAAACAAAAGATTAAAAAAAGGGCACCATATTGGTTTGCCTCTGTAAAGCCTTCTGTAAAACCTCTAAATCACATCCCAATAACATTTACTGGTTGCCTAGTATTGAACACCAGTCATAAGATAGCAAAAAGAGTAATCCTCCATGAAAAATGACCCTAGATTTCACAAGTTCTAGATGACTGACAAAGAGACCATATTATGCATCAATTTGAGCTTGTTTATAACATTTCCAATCTGCCAAACAACTTTGTCCAAATAAAAGAATATAATAAGCATTAAATAAGGAGGTGATTGACACTCAACTAAAAACCATATAAGAAAAAAGGAAAATGCACCAGTGACGAATTGGGAATACCTGCTCTCCCGGGCTAGGTAATCTGCTACTAAATTCTTGTAAAAACCGGTGAATCAAACGAAGAATGATACATTAGATGCAAAGTTACTTTCTGAATGAGTTGCCCCAGGTAAGAGGCATCCCAACCTCCATTAAGCTGGGTGCAGGCAAAGAACCAGCTAACTACATAGTTTGGTTGAGAAGATTTTAGGACAAAATAAAGAAAAAGGGGGAAGGATGGTTGCTATCCCTTATTAGGCTATTTGGTGAGAAGGGAAAAGGTATATGGATCCAAGGCAATGCTGTCAATGTCAGGAGAAGTGGAAGTAAGAAAGTATCACTCCATCATCTATCCTACAATCTTTCTACAAGAGAATATCATCCTAGCACCTATCCTACAACAAGCTTCCCTTTTCTAAAGCTAGATTCTCCTGTAAACAAGTCACACGCCAGAGGCTGCTTTTCCTTAGCTTACAACCATGAGGCTTCACTACTTGCAAATATCCACAAGCATTACCGCCTCCCCCTTCCCAGATCCCACTCACTTCCTTCCTCACTCAACCATGATTCTCACCAAATATTCCAAACTCTAAGACACTGTCAAGTTCAAGCATGCCAAAACCTAAACAGCGTCCCCAACCCAAATTTTTACACACTTTTTATCCAATCGAGTTCGGAATGAAATTGACAGGTTACTTATCTTTGAATTATGGAGTTCAAAAGAGACGGACATTGATAAAGCATTATACCCAATGTTGTTCCACTTAATACATGTTCAACCTCACACATCTGAATTTAAATTTGGAAAAAAGAACAATAAAAACTTAGCAACACTGTAAATGATGTCAATTGCCAATTAGGCATCCAATTGAATAGCAAGGAACCTGTGCGCAATAATACTTATATTGTGTTAACCAAACCAAAGAGTATATATATATATATGAATTGCATGTACGTACACATGTGTGTCTACTTGAAAGAGAGAACTCACGTAAAATGTGAATGCAACAGCTACAACCATTATGGATTTCCCCAAGTGGTGAGAAAAATCATTCATAAGTTTTCTAGCAACGAAGACGCAGAAAATAGTGACCGGAGCAACAATAAGAAATATGGTCAGCACCAGTGATCTTACATCTGGTCCAAATATAAACCTTCCCTGGAAAAAAAATATCTGCAAGCAAGAAAGGAATTACCCTGATTAATACTTAAAAGACGAGTTATTCATGTAACAACTTCAAGTTTTGAAATGCCTAAAACCTCAATGTGAGCACCCAAGAATTGAAAAGCATGCACACTAGGTTTCTACTTATAAAGCATACATATTTTAAGCTGCAGCTACATTTTAGTGGGATTATAGAATATTTTTAAGCAATACAAATACTTATCTTTTGGCATTAAAAGGCTAGCAATAAGATGAATCTTTTTTTCCCCCTTATTTACCAAATGGATAAGAAGGTTCAATCTGAGATGGGTACAACTAGTAAAAATATTGAAGCCGACCAAGAACTAGTTCTATAAAACTAGAAGAAATTGCACAGAAAATGTGATGCCAACTCCACGTTGTTGAGATAATAAGATGAAGACAATGAGTATTAGAATATCACACATGAACAAAAACTAACAAGACTATTTATGGGAGGGTTAGAAAAAAGTTTTTTTATAGGAATATATGATAAGTTTCCAATTTCTCTCTCAAGATGCACGAAAATGATGGTCCCGCAAAAATAAAATAAAATCAAATCAAATACAAAACTGAAATAGTTTATGAACTGGATTTATTAACTAAGCCTACTGATGTAAAGATGTTAGAATTTGCCGAAAAGTTTTATTAGGGCAAAATTTTGTTTTAGCACAGTTGATTACAGAACAACCAAAACATTGAAATAGAAAACTGCATGCTTTTACCTCATTTTTTTTAATAGAAATCTGTTTCGTACACACAAATGTAATAACATCAATCAGAACCTAGCCACAGAAATCCTGATTCCAGTACACATTCAAAACAGATACTATTTGCAAAAGAAATATATAATTGTCAGTTCAATCCATAACCAAACAGAAAAGTAAGAAAATGGAGCTGTCTTTTAATAGTGAGTTTGTTTAATAACAATATTCAAGATTTTGACTGGCAACTTAACAGGAAAAATTACCAATAATCTTAATTTAAATGCAAAACACTGAAATGGAAAAGAATGTGAATTTAAAATTCAACCCTAGAAAATTAAGAGGAACTCACATTGCTGCCTTTCCATATCTGGTAAATCCGTAAACCATCCGATGCGATCGTTGAACCGGATACCAGATCGGAGCGCTTTGGAGGAGGAACCACGTACATCTCTCTCTTTCCCTCTCAACTTGAGATCTCCAATAAAAAACAAACTATAAAAAGCAGGTACGAGTATAATACATACAACAGGACCTCAAAGGTAAATTAGCAAGAACTAAGGAACATGGAGTTTGAATTTTCCGGCCACAGAATAAGTTGTAAAACGGCGATTAACCAGCGGCCGATAAATTAACGGCTAGTGTGTATTTGGCCAACAAGCCATGAGAGAGAGAGAGAGAGGTACTGAAGGGTGAGAAGAAGAGGGTGTCTGTGCGTCAGTACTAACTTTACTTTGTCGTCGATAGACTTTACAGGATGTCAAATTGACGTGGCATTGTGTTATTGGAAGATGAGTGAGCTGGACAGTTGGGGGTGGTGGTGTGTGTGGGGGACCGTCTGCTTTTATCCAACAGAGAAAATGACCCACCTGCCGACGTGGCACTGTTATACCATCCCATGCCCATTTGATGTTGATGTTGATGTTGATGATAGGCATAGCCCCCTTCCCCCACTTGACCCAAATTGGATATGTTGTCGGTTCGCGGTTTCCTCAACCGCAGTTGAAAAACACCCACTCCATTCCATGTATTACAAGCAAGTGCCCTGTAATACTACGAACATATAGAAATAGTTACACTGACTCACCGACATAAGCGTAATTACACACAAACCATTCTTCTAGTTTAGAAGGCTTACCATTTAAATAATTTTAAAATTGAAAAACTACATATAAATTAGAAAAAAAAAAATGTTTTATCCTGTCTTATTGATTCTGTTTTCAAATGAATTTCTCTCTCTAAAGGGCAAGTCCTAGGTTGCACACGATCTGATTTTATATGATTCCAGACTAAATCAAAATTGAATCAATACAATAATTCTTAAGAAAACTAGAATCGAAATAGATACTTGAAATCAAACCGAATCGAACTTATTTCCTACACTGAGACTTCTAACAAGTAACAATCACAAAAGATGGGCATCTGCCACCGACTTTGAGGATTTTTATATTTATACATATATTTTCTCGACTGGAACTAAAAGAGAGGAGGGTGAGGCTAAGAGCAAAATCAAGCAGGAGCACTGTTGGGTGGCAGAAGAGAGAGTGGATCTCCACCAAAAAAGGTCTATTTTTTTAATCTTATTAAATATCATGTTTTCCGGTTTGAATCCTTGTGCATGTTAGTTTTTTTTACAATTTCTCTGACTTGTTCCATTTTATTTAAAAATAAATAAATAAATTCTCTCTAATTGGTACTCACCCTCTCTTGTGCATGTCAATATTTTTTTACCATTTCTCTAAGTTGTTTCATTTTATTTAATAAATTTTGTCCTTAGTTATTTACAGGTTTTTTTGCATGTTTGAAAATTCTTAATGAGAATTGCAATTATTATGTATATTGGAGGATGACTTTGACAATGGACGATAATAACCCATGTGTATGTGTTTTATTCAAAGTTTTAATCAATTTCAAATCTTCCTGTACATGTATGGAGGTAGGAAAGGCTAAGATTTTAATAACGAGAATAACTTTAATATTTATTGAAAAGAAAAAGTTTTATAATTTACTTACGGACAATACTTGTAATACTTGTCTACAGTAAGAAGTCCATACTTATCGAATAAAAGATTTTGCAAAATATTCTGGTTAAACCTGATAACGAATCGAATCTAAATTAAAACCCTAATCTGAATCTCTCCCCCTTTCATATCTCTTTGTACTCTTTAAGAATTTAGCAGAAGAGAGACTTGCAAATCGCTCTTCCTCACCATTGACCGCCTCTATTTTTCTCCATCACTATAGATACCTATAGAGGTGTCAGTCGATGTTTTAAGTTAGCCATGGTGTTATACATAGTACTGTTATAATAGGGCATTTTCCCTTTCATTTAATTAGGAAATAAATTTGCAGCACCTACGTGGGATTGTTGATAGGCATTGTAAAAGAACATTCAAAAACTTTTCATCACATTTCGACCCAAATTCATCGAATGTCTAATAAAGCTGTCCATAACCATTCCTTTCATCCTCATATCATGCTATGTAATGAATTTGCCTAATGCTTCAAGGATTATGTGGTAATTGATAGTGTTCCAGGATTTCCAATTGTTAGATCGCCCGCTTGAAGAACATAACCATTGCATCGTTTCACCTCCTAAATTCCCTCTGTCAACTATTTTGGCCACCACATCTTGCTTGAAGTCCATGCGGGGATGGAGAAAACTTTAGAGGGATTTGCAGGTAGTGAGAGCATAGAGAACCTGAATGAAATTTGTGTTTTAGTTTGTCCCATTTTTTATTGGGTTTAACTCGGATGTCTTTGGATCTTTTATTTTTTATTTATTTAAATATTAAGTGCTTGTGTCAGTTTAGCCTTGCGGCACATACGTGATAAGTATGGATTTTCTACTTACGGGTGAGTAGACAAGGTATTGTTAGTTCCCTCTAGATAAGGAGTAAGCAAAAAAAAGGAAATTTTGTGGGTAGCATGGAATTGGTATTTTAAAATTGAAATTGCATAAAAATTAGTTTAAAGTAAACTCCTAAAAAAATAAAAAAATAAAAAGGTTTTTGAACTTATTTTCCTTACATTTTAATTCTTAGGCACCAATTTTATGTTACCCGACATAACATCAATAATTCTCTATAAAATGAAAATTCTTGCATTTAAATTTGCATATAGAAAAATGGTGATGACTATACACTTTTCTGAAATTAGATATATTTTTTTTAACTCTATTTAAAACTGTTTATAATTTTATTGATTTTACCTTTGTTCTTAATTCTTGATTTTTTTTTCTTGTAGAATTCGATGGATTAGGTTCATCCAGTTTAGGTTTTTTGATTAAGTTCTCTCCTCTCTTTTTTCACTCTTTCTTCTATTCTATTTGATTATGATTTATTGATTTTACTTTTGCCATTATTCTGTAAGGTTTCAATTTTTTTTTCAAGGCAAGAAAATATATTAATAGGCAAGTCAAATACACTGCTCCACTACGGCATCCGTCAAAACAAGAGGAAAAAAATCAAAAAATTCAACATCGACCTTCCTAGACATAGCATACTTTGCTAGATTATGGGCAGCAGTGTTGGCATCCTGGGAACAAAGCTAACAACAAACCCATTTGAATGTTTCAGCCACGTTTGGACATCCTCAATCAACTGCATCAAAGCGATTGGACATACCTAAGTCCCGTTAACTATGTCCACCACCTGTTTAAATCAATTTAAAAAGAATTTTAATTCTTTCTTATATTCTATTTGAATATGATTATGTTAATTTAATCTTTTGCCGTTATTTTTTATGTAGCATTGTTGCTTTAAACCCCAAATTCAAGTTGTCAAGTTGCCCAAATAAAAGTTATGAGTGAATTTTTGGTCTAATTCAATTAGTATACGTTGGCCGGAAAAAGGGTTGTATGTGGGTACAGTTTTATTGTTTGCAAGGAATAATTGACCAAAAATATATAGTGCATCCCTTCCTTATCACTGGCCCAATTCATGACAATTGACAATTTGGCTAGTTAGGTAATAATCATATTATTTTAGTCACTTTTTATAACCTAGAATAATTTATCTTTCTCAATTATGCAAGAAAATCAATAATTTAGATTTTACTTTTTATCTTTTAAAATTTTATGTTATTGACCTGTTATAATTTACAATTATGTCTAACTGCTTAAAATATGAATTTTCATATTTATTTAAAAGTTGTATTTATTTCTTATTGGTAAGAATTATTTAAATGAGAAAAACTCTTTAAACTTTAATCTTTACTCTTAAAATTTTATTTGTTATCAATAAATGTGTAAAAAGACAATACGTAACTTCATAAATATATAAAATTTCAATTACTCAAAATAAGTTGCTAATTAATTATTTGTAAAAGGAATTTTTTTTAAAATAATTTTGAAAAAAAAACGTATAAAGAGTTTTCATCGCGTGCATCACACGTATCTTTTTCTATTATATATATACACACAACACCTTTTCACATTTCACATCTATCCCATTTAATGAGTTTTTTTTATATAATTTAAATAAAACTTTTTTTTTTTTTAAATACAACAAACATATATTCTTAATTATATTAACCAAATAATAATGCATATACACATTATATAAATATATATGTTATGCTTTTCTTTTTGCCAAAAATTTATTGTTATCTAATTATGTTGTAAAAATATTTGTATTGGCGCATTTCGAATTATATGTGCAAAAGATAAACCGATTCCGTTCCGTAATACCGATATAAATCTCGATTCGGTTATACGCGATCGCGATCGCAACTGATAATGCGACTACGAACTTTAAATAAAACAAATATTTATGTGGTACTTTTTTTATTTTAAGCATAATTTTCATTATTTATTCTTCCTCCAAACCGGAATAAGTACCGTCATCAACCATGCATATTCCGCATAGATACATTCACAAGCAAACGCTTGACGTAAAATTAAAGTCTGGAAGACATGGAAATAAACATATCATTTCAAAAAATTTACCTGGACAAGATATGCCTTATTTGCAAGATGGAAGACCTGTCAATATTGTCTTCAACCCATTAAGAGTACCTTCAAGAATGAATGTGGGGCAAATATTTGAATAGTGTCTGCACAGCTTAGGTGGAGAGCGAAAAAGGCCTGCTCCCTTGAATCCATGTACAGTTCTTTTAGTATATTTATAGTACTTACCCATTTTACACAAAAAAAACAAATATATATATATATATATATATATATATATATATATATATATATATATATATCAAACGTATAAAGACTCAAACCACAAATATACCACTTTCTCGGAATCCTTTGTTAGTACAATAATTTAAAGTAATTTATCATTATGATTCGCTGTATCGGTCGGTTTGTAACCCTTTTTAAAGTGTCCGATACTGTTACACACCTCTATATATCCGTTCGAATTAGTTAACCAGCGATTTCACTTGCGAATGCGGACCATACTTGTCACTGTTCTTGATGTTACGTACTTTTATATTCTTTTCAGCCCTGATGTGGAGATCCTGAGCCTGTTATAATGATGGAGTTGGATCTATAAATTTAATCTGAGGAGTAAAGAGGAGGTTTTGCTGCAAAGAAACTGCAAAAAAATTAATAATAAAAAAGTCAACAATTATTCCATTATCCCTCAATCTCATCCACTAACAATCATTGTAGGCTCAACAAATTATGATTTAAGATCGGGATGATAAAGGGGTATATCAAAGATCACTGAATTTAATTCTATAGGTTTGAAAGGCGAAGCACCGGACAGCATTGGTTCCATGGTGTAGTGGTTAGCACTCTGGACTTTGAATCCAGCGACCTGGGTTCGACTCCCGGTGGGACCTGTGCCACTTTCAAATATTTTTTGAACAACTAGCCAATTGATATCCAACTTCATTTTTGGGAGGCAGATAATGTTTGATTTCACTTTTTAACTCTTTCAAGTTATTTTTGATAATACGTTATTAGACAATAATAATAATAATATGGAATTATTTTCTTAAAATTGAAGTTAGCCGAAAGTTTATTCCAAACCAAACGTCAAGCAATTTTCTTTAGAATTAAACTCTTGATTGGTTAAAGGATTTGGCCAAACATAGTTTTGGGGACACACACACACACACACACACACACACACACTGACCTTTAGCTGCTCAATGATATATGGAGTTTTACTAATAGGAAAATGATTCCTAAATCCATTTGGCAGACCGATCAATCTTGTAGAATGGTTTCATCCCGCCCTTCGATGTAAGGGACTGGACAAAATATGGAGTTTTATTGATAGGGATTTTACTCTTGGCTGACCACTCATACCCGTCCTAGACGAGTGGCATAGCTGATCAAAGTTCAATACATAAATTGAAAAACATGCTACATTCTATAATATTAAGACAGCCAATGGGAATTCTCTCATCTCGTAAATAATGGGGTAATACTTCTGTATCTAAATGTACATCACGATCTGTACCAAATAAATAATACTCAAACAGTTCTCCCAGAAAAAATTGCCAACTCGAAAGCCTGGAACTACTAGATTAGTGGAACAGTTAGCACAACATTTTTCTTTGAATTACAGAAGGACTCGAGATAATTTTCATCAAATGTGCCGAAACCAGATAATCGGATACCATATGCGTCCATCCTGCGGACATCCCGCGGAGTGGGGGATTGCCAAAGTCCATCCCACCAAGCAGGAGGGAGAAGTGGTGTGAGGGCACATTGATTAGACTGGTTGTGACAACTCAGAGGACCTGCGAATCTGTTCCATACATGTCCCCACCCAACCTGATTCCCCAGACCTTCTGAAAGCAAATTACTCTGAAAGCTGCTGAGGAACGAAAAACTTGAACCAGCAGAAGAATTCTCTACTGGAGAAAAATTAAGAAAAAATCAATATACCTAAGATACCATTTCTTCAGAAGGAATGAGCCAAGAGTAATGCAAGAAAATACCAAGTTTGTGTGCTGCAGCTAGTGCTGCAACCAACTGAGCATAAGTCGTTCCAACACGTCTATGAGCCCCAGATATAACAGCATGTTTTGCACGCGACGCAAGAAAGAAGTCAACAAATGCAACCCATCTGGGTGCCGAACCCCAATCCTTTACCCTAAAATCTGAATTATGCAATCTATTCACTTTCCCAGATATATTTCCTTTAAAAAGTTCATAATCAAAATGAAGGACCTGGAAAAAGAAAAACCAAGTTAGATGCATTGAAAAAGTAGCTATATCGCAAATAATGAGTGTAACCATATTCTTCTGTGAAATTTTGGGATTAACATGGAGAAGGTGCCCAAGATAGCTCTATATTCGTAGAGGTCGAATATATTACATGAAATTACCTCTGCGAATGCATCTATGTTTATTGCAAGAGTTTTTATCAAAGAGGGAGTATCTGAAATCAAAACCACCCTTGGTCTGGACTTCAGTTGTAGATTGCTCATGGCGTTTCTGATACAGCTCAATGCTGCCTGAACTGCTCTCACAGACCTGACACAATGAAATCAAAAGCCTGCATCATTAATCAATTCAAATTTCAAATCTTATCCTAAGGGTAGCTTTAATATTGCATGGAAAACACTACACATCAAGAAGTTACATGGAACTTTAATTTTACACTACGTTCATATCATATGAAGTATATCCATTATGTGTGCATGTCCAGTATAAGTGTTACAGAGGGTCACTCGGATTCAGGATATACCGTCACTCCAAATTTTCAATCATTTTTGGCAACCTCCATTAGGAGGATGCATTGTGCACTAAAACCATAAAATAAATATATCAAACTATATCACTCCCAGCAATCCTACAAATGCCCCTATAAAATTTATGACTAAGCTGCTTTGAAATAGCCACTTCAATTGAAAAGGTTTATGCAGGAGTACAAGCTGTTATTTCAGTTGGTTAAATTAATTAATGCATGCATCAAGCAATAATATTATGAAATTTTTTTTTTTTACCATTGCAACATCTATGCTCAGAATTACTTCTTTCACTAATATTATACTCCGCATTTGTTTTATGTGATGTTAATAGAGTGTAGTGGACAGAAAAAAGTTCACAAGGGGAAACAGTAATACCTTCTTGAGCTATGCTAAGCACAGTCACGATTTTGCAAGCTCAGCCCTTGGATCTTACGAGTCCCACAGGCGGGGCCCACCCACACAGATCCAAGGGCTGAGCTTGCGCAGTCATGACTGCACTTAGTATTCTCCTACCTTCTTTCACCAATCTTGTCATGGAAAAATTTTAAAGCATAAGTGTCCCCAAATCGAGGAACTTGACAGTTCACTTCCATACCTGTTCATAAGCATCCGCATGTGCAATGTAATTTCTGGATCTATTCCACTGCCAACAACCCACTCTACTGCCTCTTTAACATCATCTGAAGGAGATATGAGAACTCTCATAAGCTCCCCAAATACATTAGCCCTATGCTGAAGATACTTTGGCTGCCCAAATAGATCAGAAGCAGCATTCCTCATCTCAGAATGTACATTCTTCAAGAAAAACTGAGCTGCCACCGCATCTGTTGTATTCTGCAACCTGCTCTGATAAGCTTGATGATCATTTGATGATTCCTGAAAAGGAGTAACAGCTGATAATTTTAGGTGTACTCATGTTACCATATGATAGGTTGATCCCATTCCCTCCAGTTGCTACAAAGAACACTCGTTTGTGCTGGTTTCTGAAAATCATCAATTCTCATGACTAGATGCCTTCCATATTTTCTTACACAACCATTCTGTCTCCACAGATGTTTGACTTCTTTCAAGGTAAAGGACAGGTTGGTATAAGAAATGTATTCCCCAAAAGGATACTTACCCCTGAAAAGATGGAAGTAAAGGAATAAGTTGGATGAATAAAAGCATCAATTGTGAGAGTAATTTCAAATTATATCCGTATATCTGACCCTAGATTATATCATGTGTTCTTTTAAGTTAAGTCCTGAATAGAGAAGAGAAGAACAAACATAATAGAGTGCTTTTTTGGACTCTTCAGGCTTGTGCTGGAAGCCTGGAATACACTACCCCCGCTTAGGACTGTATGAAACCAACAATAAAAGAACACCTCTAGCGCATGTTATTCCAGTGCCTTTAGAACTGTATGAAACCAACAATAAAGGAACACCTCTAGCGCAGGTTATTTTAGTGCCTTTAGAGGTTAGAACTGTATGAAATCAACAATACACCTCTAGCACATGTTATTCTAACCCCACTAAGTGATATAGTAAAATCCACAAATAGAGAGTAACTAAGTAAACCAATCCATTGATAAGCCCCAAAAGTATGCCAATCCATTCATTAGCCCAAAAAAGGATTTCTTGTTGATAATTTAAAGCGAGAGATTGTTAGAAAGGTGGTATCTAATATCAAATATAGATATACAGTCATAAAAGAGAACCAACATGCCTGGTTTGCCCAATTATCAGTGACCGATTCAGCATCATACTCAATGCTGCAGCAGTTAAGATCTTGTACATTTCATTCCCAAAACCTGCTTCTGATGCTTTCCCTATCACAAAACCATGGCTGCAAAATTGCTCTGGAGGAAGGGCTCGAATTCTCAAAGGACCTGAAACGGGAAGTAGTAGTGTGACCACTTAAAATGGATCTCCCGATCTCTCATTATCATCCTCATCTTTGTCTCATGAATTATATTGGCCACATGAATATTATTTTCACGTTCTTTTTTATTAAAGTAATTTCCCATATTATATTTAATATTTAAAAATCATTTCTAATGACTTCATCCAATGTTCGTTCTAGACAGACCCTCCCTCCCTCTCAATATTTTTGGCCTTGATTGCAGCCTCCTCCTTCAGATCACCCTTACTTTCTCTGCATGTGTGTGTATTGCTATGCTTCAAACAACTCTCTAATGATTTTCCTGCCAGCTACCCTTTATCCACATTAAAATAAAAGTAGTTTGTTTCGGACCAATATGATACTTCTTGTCTAGTGTTCCGTCAAAGCATACAACTTTCAGAAATAAATGAAAATGTCATTGTGATTTGTCATAAATTGCAGATTAAATTAAATTAAATAAATAATAAAAATTGCTAACTTTCTCTGCATGTTTGTCATAAATTGCCTTCAATAAGAATAATAGAGTCTTGATATGTAATAGGTCCTCAATGTAGATGCAATCACTGCCAATTAAGCAGCATATGTTATGTTTGGATTTGGGATTGGATGCGGATTCGGTACCGCCAAACATAGCAATATAGTATTTTTTTTCAGTCATCCAATCTAAGCATCCTATTTCTTTCACTTCTCTTAAGTAATCATAACAAAACCCATTAAATGAAAGTATGAAGCAGAAGGATAAGTAAAGCACCCAATAACGTGATATAAAAATGAAAAGTTCGCAGTGAAATGACAACAATTTGATTAATAAATAAGATGAAATGAGTATAATTAGTAGCAAAGTAAGTAACAGTACCGTTGAGAGCAAAGTGATGGTGAATAATTCTTCGGACCTTGAGACTTTCCTCCCAAAATCGGCCACTAAAAGCAGCGCCCATCTCCTCCACCGTTGCACATCCTTTAGCTCTATTAGGGTTAGTGTTGTGGGCCTCTGAATCATCGTCTTCTTGTTCAGAGACTTTTCGGGTGGAGCTGATGGGTAAATCTACATCGGTGGACAAATCTAGGGATCTGAGAGTGAGGATCAATAGGCCAACACCAGTAAATATTGCACATTTTATCAATAATCCGTCTACTGAGGGTCGCCTTCTTCGTGATCCCAACAACCTCATTTCTTTGATCTGATCGCACTCCCACTCCCCCACTCCCACTGCTACTGCTTTGCTTTTAGATGGTGATTGATGATTGCTTTACTTTGTTTTGCTAAGGAAAAAAAAAACCAATTGATTTAGCTGCTGCTAGGGATTGATTTCTTATCCCTGGAAGGAATGGGGGAGATTCTCCTCCAACTCCAAACGTTGTAAAATGTGGATGGAGTGCTGGGAAAAGTAATAATTGTCAAACTACCCTATGATAAAAATAACAACATGACTGTATTTTAAGGTCAAATGAACTTAATACCCACTTTAATCTCGTATCAGACGTTCATGTTTAGAAATGAAAGTTTTTAAGGCATGTACAATTAATGCATTGTTCTGTTTTCTAAAATTATTAATTTATTTTTTTTAGTTTATATATATATATAGTTCTTGAGTTTAAAATTTTTAAAAAATATAAAAAATATTGATAGAAAGATAAAATTTATTTACTAAATTTTTTTAAAGTGATTCGAAAGTGAACCAAGATAGCACCGACACATGACACATTACTCTAATCCTATGTATGGTTGGAGGGAAGAATTAAGGAAGGGTTGATAAAATTAAGTGGATTTTTGGGGAAGGGAGGGGAGAGAAAACAATTACTAATTAGAAAAATGCAATTTTCAATTTTAACTTTTTTTAAAAAAATTCAAATGATAATCTACTTTTTATTATCTTATACAATAAGGGCAAATTGGTAAAAAAATATATATATAAAATATTTTTCCCTTCCAAACAAATAAAAAAAGAGTATCACCTTATCCTATCCTTTTTGGACTGAAATAAAAAAAATAAAAAATAAAAAAAGAGATAATGCTTAGGTCCTCACTAAAAAAGATTTACAATGTCCTCACTTCTTATGTGGTCCAATAAAAATAAAACACGTACGTCATCTTTTGTTAAACAAGTCAAAAAAAATAAAGAAAGAAAAAATAAACCTGATCATACCCGAATGAAATCGGGTAAAGAGTTCAATTTTTATTTTTTCTAAATTTTTCTAGGGTTCAACATATGGTTCTCTCTTTCTCCTCTCTCTCCACCGTCTCCTTCCTCTCAAATTTCTAGTCATGGACAACATCATTCAATTGCCAAGAATATTTAAAGGGTGTATGATTTTTTTATTTATTTTTTTATTTTTTTACACATTTAGGATTCTTTTTCTATAAAAGGGCTTTCCATGAAGATTATGTGTTAGAATGAATGGAATTTGTAAAAAGTGAACAGAGAGACCAATGATCAACTTGTCACTTTAATCGTTCGTGGAAAGCCCTTTTCTAGAAAAAAGAATCTTAAATGTGTAAAAATAATATATATATATATATATATATATATATATATATATATAGATCATATTTTTTTCAAATATTCTTGGCAATTGAATGATGATGTCCAGGACTAGAAACTTGAAAGGAAGAAAATGGTGGAAAGAGAGCTTAAGGTGACAGACGTTGAACCCTAGAAAAAAAAATATAATAAAAAATAAAATAAAATCTAAAATTGAACCCTTTTTATCCGATTTTATTCGGGTAAGATCTGTTTATTTTCTTTTTCTTTATTTTTCTGACATCTTTAACTAAAGATGAAGTATTTTTATTTTTATTAAACCACATAAGATGAGGATATTGTAAATCCTCACTAGTGATGATCTAAGTATTGTCCAAAAAAAATTTATCTTATATTCCCTAGCAATTACTTATCCATCCTTGTTTGCACCCTAAAAATAAATTTTAATTTGGCCACATGGCATTGAATAATTTGACAAAAGTTCTTACTTCAATTACTTAAAATTAATTAATTGTTGTATGGCTTCTTATGATGGGTTGTAATAATAAATGATTATTTACAGTATGCAAACACTTAGGACTCTTATTCAAATTGGAGTCTAAATTCAAGAATTGTCTGATTTAAAGCTACGGCGGTTTTTATTCCAAAAACACTTTTATTTGGATAAACTTGAGACAAAAGGGGTTGCATTTTGATAAGCTTAAGACAAAGCAAGTTGCTAATTCAAATATAATATTTGAATTTGAAAAAGAAATTGACTGCTAGAAATAGCTGCTTTACAAGATTTCTCTATAAATAGCATCAGAAGACATTTGCACAAAGGCCCGGACCACAACAAATTTCCTACTTTTGCAATTTCATTTTATGAATGTTTTTCATTTTTTGCAAATTTACTTAAGTCTTTTACTTGTATTTTACTTCTGTTAACAGGAGTAGCCTAGTATTAGATTTACACTTCTTGTACTCTGTATGTGAATTTTACTTATGAAATAAAAGTCGACGCTTGGCTTCAGTTCCTCTACTTTTGTTTTCTAAGTCTCTTGGAATAGATTAATGCCCGTGTAATTCGTTTTACTCTCTTCATTCATTCTACTTATAGTGCTGAAAGTCCTCTTTATTGAAGCGTTGAAGAACCTGAAGGAAGGGGACCAAGGGGTCATCCTTGCCTTCCAGCAGTCGTCTGATTCACAAAAAGATTGATTACGAATTCGGTGATAGTTTGACTATCCAATCCCTTGGGTTGAAAAACATACTCTGACACGCTTCTAAAAAAAAAGAGCCAAACAATCCCTCCCTTTTATCTCTTACATCCATTTTTCTATCACTCTAGCCAAATGAAACATTAGTTTATCTTACTTTTTTTAGTTTTGTTTTACACTATATCTTTGTGAATCCGTCTCTCCCATCCACAAGCTTTTTGCAAATAAAGTAATCTCATACAGTTCTTTTTTCTCTTCTTATTTAATTGATTCTCACTTTGTCCAAATTTTTAGCCCTCAACTTTATATTTTGACATTAAAAATGTAACACTAAAACATCTTATTAATGGTCCTCTTTTGTTAAATTTCAATATAAATTTAAAATATTGTGGCTATTATGGTGCAAATTTAAGAAATATTTTGTTTTTAAGAATTGTTTAGGTTTAATACATGGAGATTGGTGAAGTTTGTCGCCGTGTAAGTCTCATGCAAAATAAAGTATTACTTTGTAATTTCGAGATGAGAAACTCAATGAGATCTTGACATAAAGTAATGTGAATTCTAAATATTTCTTCATTTGCATTCACACACACATAGTTAACTTCAGTTAACAAAGTTTTGTTAATGATTAATTTTTGGTAATATTTGTCCTAGTAACAAGTTTCAATATTTGTAACAGGATAAATAGACAATGTGTAATAATAGTAGACAAGTCAAAATTTCATTACTTTCAAAAACTTTTTAACTTATCCATACTTGAATATTATAACATACTAATATGTTTTAATAGCAGACATGTTAAAATATAATATTGTTTGAAAAAAGTATGTTATAAAAATTATTTGAAAAATATTTGGGTTTATTTTTGAAAGGGTTCTCTCCATAAACGGACTTCTTATATGGAATTAAAATATATTAGTATGTGTAATTAAAACGATCTGACAAACAAATCATGCAAAATTGTCCTTTGGGATCCCAAATTACTTTATTTGTGTGTGATGTAAAAAATGGGGGAGAAATGAATGGAACTCTTTTCATTTCGTGGTGACTTTGTTGATGATATTCAATGGTTGTGCGTGTGATGCAAAAGGAACAATAACATATTGATAAGAAAGATGTGGAAACACGAAGTATGTGGTAGCCAGTGAAGAAAACTTGCTACACATTGATAACAGAACAAACTGACTCCCCTATCCCTATCCAAGAAAACTTCCACGCTTTGTGTAGTGTACGTACAGTCCCCGCCCTTCTATCTCTCTCCGCTCAACATTTTGTTATACAATATGACCAATTCAATCTTTCAATACTATATCCATAAATAAAATTAAAACCAAATAAATAAAATAAAATGATAGAGTAACTTTTTAAATTACAGTATAATAAAATAAAAATAAACCGTTAATATATATTTTTGTCACTTGTGCTCTTGCTTGCCCCTTTCAATCTCTCTGTATCGCGATCTCTCCTGACTTCTCTTCTTCAAACCTTTTTTTTATTATTTTTTTTTTATTTTCCTCGATACATTTAAAAGAAATTAACATTCAAAAACATCTTGATCATATTCAATGTGGTTCGGAAAAGATAAAGGCTTTCTTCATAAGTCGGACGGTGGGGAAGACAAGGACAAGGACAAGGACAAGAACAAGAACAACCAGCAGCAACACCACGACGACCACGGTGATCATCAGAAGCAAGAGTCTGACAATGTGTCTGGTGACCAACCCGCTGAGATTGAAGAGAAATCAAGCTATACCGAGACGGATATCAAAGTGGATGTGGAAGAGGTGGAGGAGGAGCCAATTATCAAAACGAACGACGAAGACCCTTCCCCTTCTCCGCCTGATTTTGACAAAGTCTCCAAAGAGATCGATGAGTTCATCTCTCATCTGTCCACCGCACAAGGTGAGGAATCCGAACCACCTGAACCTGAGGTACCTGAATTCGTGGACCAATTTGCCTTCTTTGTTGAGGCTAAGATTGCCAACTATGATTCCATCGATTGTCCCATGAAATGGACTCAGGTGCCAGAGGAGGATTCGTCCTTGTTTCTGGAAGCCGTGGATCGAGTCTGCAAGCTGACGACATCGCTTTCTCAATTCTCATCACATTCAAACTACGCTCCGCTCATCAATCGCATCGGTGGTATTCTTGACCGTGCAATGTCCTACCTGGAGGACGAGTTCAGATCGCTTCTCGAGCACTACTCTCTAAATTCCTCTGCTAATAATGATTCCGATCATAATAATATTAATGAATCCAAACCAAAGCAATCGTCCAACGAATCGGATAATTCCTCCACCATGCCGGAATCTGACTCCACCGAGGAAACTCATTTTCCAGGATACTCAGAGGCGGTGGTGTCGAATATGAAGAGATTAGCCAAGGCGTTGGTATCGGGAGGCTATGAGACAGAGTGTTGTGAGGTTTATATAGTTGCAAGAAGGAACTTATTTGAAGAGAGCTTGCGTAACCTAGGGTTTGAGAAGCACAGCTTCGAAGATGTGCAGAAGATGCAATGGGAATCACTTGAGAAAACGATCGTCTCGTGGATCAATACCTTTAAACAATGCACCGCCGCGTACTTCCCCGGCGAACGTAAGCTCTCAGAGGCAGTGTTCTCGGACCACGCATCCATCTCCGAGAGACTCTTCAGCATCCTCTCAGGATGCGTCATGATTGAACTTGTCAATTTCGCTGAAGCTGTGGCAATGTCCAAGCGTTTGGCGGAAAAGCTGTTTAAGTTTCTCGACATGTACGAGACCTTACGTGATGTAATTCCAATCATGGACACTCTTTTTCCAAACGAATGCATACGTGATCTCAAATCTGAAGCTTTATTGACTCGAATCCGATTCGGCCAGACAATAGTTTCCATTTTCCTCGAACTGGAGAAGTCAATCAAGGCTGATGCAGGAAAGACTCCAGTTCCTGGTGGTGCAGTGCACCCCTTGACCCGCTACACCATGAATTATCTAAAATACGCCTGTGAGTACAAGGACACATTAGAACAAGTGTTTAGAGAGATTCAGAAGATCGAGCAAGCAGACCCGGACAGTACTGCCACTGGATTGGATTTTCTCTTCTGTGATCATAATAATAACAAGGACAAGGTACAAGGCCATGATGATGGCAGTAGTGATCAGACGTCGGAAAATGAATCTATGTTTGCAACGCTGGTGATGAAAGTGATGGATCTATTGTATACAAATCTGGAAGGGAAATCCAAGTTATATAGGGACACTGCATTGAGCTTGATTTTCCTGATGAACAATGGGCGATACATCATGCAGAAGATCAAGAGTGCCGAGGAGATCAACGGCTTGATAGGCGCCATGTGGAGCCGGAAGAGATCGTCTGATTTGAGGCAATACCACAAGAACTACCAAAGAGAGACGTGGGGCAAGCTTTTGCAGTGTTTGACACTGGAGGGGTTGATTGTGAAAGGAAAAGTGCAGAAGCCGGTACTGAAGGAGAGGTTCAAGAGCTTCAACGCCCTGTTCGACGAAATACACAAGACGCAGAGCACGTGGGTGGTTAGCGACGAGCAGCTTCAGTCGGAACTGAGGGTATCAATATCGGCGGTGGTGATACCGGCATACCGGTCGTTCTTGGCGAGGTTCAGTCAGAACTTCACACCAGGGAGGCAAACAGAGAAGTACATAAAATACCAGTCTGAAGATATAGAGACACATATTGAGGGGCTATTTGAAGGTGGGAATGCAGCACCCTCAATGTGGAGGAGGAGACCATGATGAGATCAATTAACATAGCTTAGTTTAGTAGTACGAAACTATCAAGAGTTCATCAGTTTCAACTTCAAGCAAGGGACAGTGCAATCAGGTTAAATTAAGCCACGCATGCACCATCATTAATGGATCATACATGGTTCTCTGTCAGGCTCAGCAGGAGACTCCAAAAAGATGCATTTGGACTTTGTAGCAATTAGAAAAATTGAAAGCATCGAGTGTGGTACATTAATCACGTCAATCATCCTTTTTTTCTTTTTTCTTTTTTCTTTTTTCTCTTTATTTATTTATTTATTATTATTTTTTTTTTAAGTTGAGTAGGAGGCACACACTACATCCTGTTTTTCACAGCCTAAATGTATTTTATGAATTGCTTTAGACTTAATGTTGTAATTTTCGTTAGCCAACTTGGGCCATTGCACAGTGTGTATATATATATCCATTGCTCTTGTAGAATTTCTACTAGGCGTGGTCAATCCCTAAAAAATTATAGGTACTTTTGAAGAAGTTAGGGTTAATTTCACTAACACATCTTTAGATTTGGTCAAATATTACTCTTAAATATCTTTCGAAAATAATTGTCACTTTGGTCCATTTCTATTTTTCCGTTAAAATCTCCGTTAACATGAGAAAAGATAACTTTACTCCTAATTTTTTAATCATATTTATTCCAAAATATCAGGTTAATTACTTAAATGATCATTATACCTCTTAGATATATCTATCTATATACGCTATAAAAGTGTATTCAATTTTAATTTTTTATATACATTTTAAAATAATTTTTTTAATTTACAAAAATACATTTTTTTTTAACACACGGCTTTTGTTTTCTTTCTTCTTTTTTTCCAAAGAGTGGATGTTTCCTTTTTTTTTAAAGGCAGGTACCTTGACGGCTTAATTTTATTATTAAAATTACATTTGTGATTTTGTATAGATATATGAAGCATAAGCTAACAGTAACCCACTCATGAACATATGTTTGTAATATTTAGCAATGGTTAGTTGGGTCTTTGTATATCAAACTAATAATAACTCTCACATGATATTATATATCTCTATATACCCTATAAAGTGTATTCAATTTTGATTTTTTATATACATTTTAAAATACTTTTTTTAATTTACAAAAATATTACACGCCACATTTCCTTTTTACACACTGTTTTTGTTTTCTTTCTTTCTTCTTTCTACTTTTATATTTAAAAGAGACGTCTATTGTGAAAGTAGGGCTGCAACTTGAGCGGGCTAACCCAGCCCAACTCGAATTTTTGAAAATTGGGTTTTAAATTCACAAATCGGATTCATGTTCGAGTTGGGTTTTGTCAAAACCCAGACATATTCGGGTTGGGCTCGGGCACAACCCAAAACCCAAAAAAGAGAAAAAATTATTTTTTCTCCTTTCTCTCTCCTCTCTTCTTTTTCTTTCTCTCTCCGCCGCTTGAGAGTTAAGAGACAGCGGCGAGATCCACCAGTGCCAGGAACGCCTCCAAAGACGACAACCTCCGCCGGAGAGACGAGAATATCACCAGATCCGTCAACACAAATCTTCCCACTTTCTACAACTTGTAATTTGTAGACGAAGAGGAAATGAAATTCCTTTTTTTCCAAACAGAGAGAGGAAGGTAAGCTTGAGAGTTGAGAGACAACGGCTGAAGCTTGCGAACGGCGAACCCGAACTGGAATAGCGGGCGATGGAAACTGAAAGATCTGGGTTTTGATTTTTTGAACAATCTGAAATGATATGCCGATCTGGTTTTGATTTTTTGAACAATCTGAAATGATATGCCGATGTGAGTTTTGAACTTTTGATTCTTGCAGACAGATAGATAAAATTGAAATATATGGCTTTTTAACTTCTAATTCTTGTAGATTTTGTAATTTGCAGTTGGAAAAATGACTATAAGAATTAAAAATATCATTAAATATATAAGGAATGATATTTTTAATCCTTATAGTCATTTTTCCAACTGCAAATTACAAAATCTACAAGAACATGATATTTTGAAATTCACTGGAGGCATTTTTTAATCCAAAGGGCATGACTTTCCATTCATAATGACCAAAGGGAGTGGTGAAAGTAGTTTTATACCTATCTTTTTTTCTCAAACGAATTTGCTAAAATCCTGACTTCATATCTAATTTAGAGAAAATGACTACCTGACTTAGGCGGCTAATAAGGTCCTTCTTATTGGGAATAGGATACCTGATCCATTCTAAAACCTTATTGAGGGGAACTCCCTCTTTATTTCAGAATTTTTCTGAACATAAAAAACTGGGTATGACCAAGGTGACTTGCTTTTTCTAATGATCTTTTTATGTAAAAGATCAGAAATTTCTTTCTTACAAAATTCCATAACTTCAGGACTCATTTGGATTGGTCTTGCCTTAGTGGGAATGTGTCTTCTCCTAAAGCCTTTAATGTAAGGTAACCTAGTAAGTCCTAGATCCAAACAGTAAGACCCAAGGAAGGGCCCGAGCGGTGCGGCATGAGCAGATGAACGCGTGGATAGGATATAGGTACCACTGTGAGAGAAACATGACCATAGTATGTTTTAACCAGCCAACGAGATTAGTTTGAGTCCATCAATAATGAATAGGTTATTTAAATCTTCCTCTTCAATAAGCTCTAGATTTAGAGCTAGTACTAGTCTACCTCTTCCAATTCCAAATATAGTCAATAAAGAAAAGTATCGAATTAAAGATACTAATTTAGACTTTAGTAATTGGAATATTCCTAGAGTTCCAACTAGAGAATTCTACAAAGCCAGTTTCTTTAAGTCTACCTTTCTTAGTGATTACACAGTCAAGACAGTTGAACAAATTTATTCCCTGTCTAGAGAACATGAAAAATGTCAGTTACTCACAGCTAAGTCAATCCAAAGTCATAGAGATCGTGGATACAACTTTATCCATATAGGTTTAGTTCAAGTAGCAGTCAAACCATTTACCAATACAGGACTTAATGCCCCTGTGTTTCTAGCCCTCTGAGATGCTAACTTTATTGACTATGAAACTAGTCTCTTAGGAATAGTCAAAACTAGTCTTTGTAACGGCCCAGTTCATTTTAATTGTTACCCAGATTTAACTGTTTGTTTAAGTGACCCTCATCTATTGAAAGCCTTAACCCTTAATGTTAAAATATCAGGTTATCCTTTGCTTCTAGGATCACAACCTTTAGGTTTGATCTATAGGATTTATTATAAAACAAGGAAAACTAATCTTAATGTCAAAGCCATTAAGAAAGATATAAAAGGTCATACCCTACTGATTGAAAGCAGTACCCCTGATGCTAATATTCAAATAAAGAAAACTATTGCTTGGAAAGATATTTCACTGCCCAATGAATGGATTCTTAAGAATAAGAATCACCCAGTAAAAATAAATAATGATACTAGTAATCTTAATAGAGTGCAGGAATTTCTTAACGAAACAGTCAGAATAAGCTTTGATGAACAACGCCTTCTAACTCGCTCACGTCATTCTACTTCCTTTGATAAACCAGATGGTAGTTTATTAGACAAGGAAAGTGAAGTTCCTCCTCTAGATAGGAAAAATTCTCGTTTTCATCCGTAGCCAAAAGATACTAAGTTAAAAGGTATTCAAATAGAAGAACAAGTTACTCACCCTTGTTATGTTACTCCCACATCTAACAAATCTAGGTCTACACCTACCTCTCCTACACCTTCTGATTTTATTGCAAACCTTAATGCACTAAACCCTTAGTTAAATATTATTAGTAAACCTTTTAAGTATAATCTTTCAAAATTACATGATGATTACTCATCCCCAAGTAACAAAGAAAAGCGAAAATCTTTTCGCAAAACCCATACTGAAAAAGAACAAAATAAGATTCTCCGTTATTGGCAAACATTCATGATAGAACACCAATTAGAAATCAAAATTTTTGATTATCTAGAAAACTGTCATAACAAGGTCAATGTCCTAACTAAAGTTAATTGGAAAACCTCTGATACAACAACAATCTCCTCTTCCCATCTGGAAAACGTGATTCTTGATCACATGGGAGCTAAAATCACTGGTTCTCCTTTAAAAGTCAATACCACAGCTGATGCTAATGCAAGAAAAATAATTGAACAAAATAACTTCATTAACCAGTATTTACATACTCTTGGTACCTAATTAGACAAAATTGAGCTCTCATTAGCTCAACCTCCCAATCTTCCAGTAAAAACTCCTACTACTTCTTCCATGGAAACACCCATTATTTCTATACCTACACACAGAAAAGGTCTTCCACCAGCCTTGCCAGACCCTTCTGTTATACTCCAAATTGAAACCATCCTCAAAACCCTCGAAAAAGGTAAATCTCAAGTCAAAGACGAAAAAATTATCACTGTAATCAATAATACTGATAATTCTGATAATTTATCCTCTGATAATTCTAGTTACCCCTCTGACATCCAGAAGATTAAGAATGCTTTCTCCAACCTAGAACTCAATCGTTTAACTAACAAACGAGTCAACCCTACTAGTCTTACCAAAAATTGGTACCCAAGACCGACGCCTCCTGATCTCCAATATGAAGAACGAAATATCCAAAATCAATTCTCCATTTCTTCGGATAAACTTTATGAATGGAATATAGTTGATTTATCTGAACAGGAAATTCTCAATAAACTCAGTCATATATCCATGGTAGCTAACAATTATGTTACTTCACATAACCTTAGTCAGCCGAAAATAGTTGATTTACTTAATTCAGGATTTTCAGGAATGTTAAAATCATGGTGGGAAAAACATCTCAATGAAGATTCTCGTGGAAAAATAAAAAATGTTGTCCAAAAAGACAACAATGGCCTTCCCATCTTTGATAAAACCATAGGACGTGGTATTCCTGATGGAGTTAACACATTAGTCTATACCATAGTTGAACACTTCATAAGCACTCCAAGTAACATCACTTCCAGAATACATGACCAGCTTACTAACCTTACTTGTCCAACCATGAGTGATTTTAGGTGGTATAAAGATGTATTCCTTTCCAGAGTTATGCTTAGAGATAATAGTAATAAACCATTTTGGAAAGAAAAATTCATTAATGGCCTACCCAATCTCTTTGCCCACAAAATTAGAGATACTCTTAGTAAAGCCATAGGAAACATTGATTATGATAACCTCACTTATGGCAATATCATTAGCTTAATCCAAAAAGAATGATTAAGGATGTGTATTGACATGAAAATCAGTAACCAGTTACAAGATGATAGGAAACGAGCTAAATATGAAATGGGAATCTTTTGTGAACAGTATGGTCTTCCTCCTATAGCTCCCTCAAGACAAAACTCCAAGCCCTATAAGAACACCTACAACAATCACAAAGGTTATCATAGGCATTATAAGAATAGAAAATCAGTATTTCCCAAAAATGAATACTATTCTAAAGAAAAGTCTAGACCTAAAAATAAATTCAGTAAAAACACTTCTCGACAAAAAGATAACAAAGATATCAAAGATGTTAGCAAAATTAAATGTTACAAATGTGGTCGACTAGGTCACTTTGCAAAAGACTGTTATGTGAAAAAGAAGATCAATCAGTTGCACATTTCTGATGAAATTAAAGACTCTATCTACCAAATACTCCAGTTAAGAGACACTGATGATAGT